AACAAAAGAGAATAGACTTAAAAAAAATTCTTGTTCATTATAAACGGTAACTTCAGCAGTTGTTACCACACAAAATATCTGAGGACAAAGCAGGTACATTTGTACCTCTTCCCAGAGTGTAGGCAACCATCAGTGACAGGTTTTTAAAGTTGAGAATTGGATTCCCGCTGGGCGTGATCTTGCCCCTCTTCCTCCCCAGAGGGCATTTAGCAGTGTCTGGGCATTTTTATTGTCACTACAGGGGGTGGGCAGATACTACTGCTCACCATCCTACAGCGCCCGGAACATCCCCCAGTGAGATTGTCCCTCCCAGGACACGAGGGGTGCCGAGGCAGAGACACCCTGCTGTCACGGTTAGGCTTACTTTGCCGATCTTTTCTGTGGATTCGCTCCTGTTGAGTAATTCAGAGGTGCCGTTAGCATGAATACTTACAATCCTCTGTGTTCTGCACTTGGCCTTGGTACCCTGGTCAAGATCAGCACAAGCTCAGGCCTTGTGTGGGGGCTTCCTTTCACACACGGCCAGGCAGCTGACAGAAACAGCTTTTGATCAGTGTCCTAGTGAAAACCGTGAGAGAACACGAGGCGCTGACATGATTGTAAGTACATAGGGTCACACGAGAGCACGAACAGTGAGAATGTAGTGGGAGCCCCGCCGTTCAGAGTGTTTGGAGAATCACAGTGTGGCCTCCCCCGGGAGCTTGATGGAAACCCAGACGCTCAGGTTCCCCTCAGACCCCCTGAACCAGAGTCTGGGTTTTAGCAAGGTGCCCTCAGGATGCTGTGCACCCAGAGGTCAGAGAAGCTCTGGACACGCATTTTACTTCGGATGAAATTACACCATGATTGCAACTCTGACTCTTACAAGCCTTATGGACTCGGCCAAATTAAAACAAACCCCACTGCACCTTGGTGGTTTGTCTGTCAAATGGGATATCATCGCCTTTCTCGTGAGGTGGTTGTGAGAATCGGACAAACTTATTTGTGTCAAGGACTCATCATGTGGTAAAAGCTCAGCAAACTGAGTTGTGATTGACAATAAGAAAAGAAGGCAAGAGCAGGGAACGTTAGGGAGGCAGTTTATGCCTTAAACCCCTCAGTCGTCATCACCAAACAGTGCATGGACCCTCGGCAGATTGGGTTTCTCTGAATAGGAAAATAGCAAACGCTGGAGCTTCATAAGCTTCTAGAGCCTGTGGTCCTTGTAGGCGACCCAGTTGGCAGAAATAAGTGGACCAAGCAGCCCAAACTCCTCGCGCTCCATTAGCTGGCCCGAGTTACACCTGCTCCATCCACTCCACTCTGCTGGAGAGGAATGCAGCAGGAATTTTCAAGGCACCCAGAAGAAAGGCTGCGGTAGAGAGAGAAGATAAGTTAGAGCAGTGGTCGGCAAAAGTTAGAGCAGTGGTCAGCAAACCTCAGTTCGCAAGCCACATGCGGCTCTTTGGCCCCTTGAGTGTGGCTCTTACACAAAATACCACGTGCGGGCGCGCACATACAGAGCGATTGAAACTTCGTGTCCCATGCGCAGAAGTCGGTTTTCGGCCTGGGTGAGTCTATTTTGAAGAAGTGGCCTTAGAACACTCAAGGGGCCAAAGAGCCACGTGTGGTTTGCCGACCATTGGTGTAGAGGAAGGAGACTGGGTGAGCTGATCCCTTGTCTTATTAGTAGGGTTTAAGAATGGATTAGAAGGGTTTAGGGGAAAGGATGCCATATGATTTCACTTGGTTGTGAATAAAATAGACAAAATTGAAACAGACTCATAGAACAGACTGATGGTTCCTGAAAGGGTGGGGGCTTGAAGGACAGAGTGAAAAAGGTGAAGGGATTAAAAAGCACAAGTGAGTAATTACAAAGTAGTCACGGGGATGTAAAGTACAGCATAGGAAGGAAATATATTGTAATTACGATGCATGGTACCCGGTGGGTACTGAAAATATCGGGGCGGGGGGGGGGAGCACTTTGTAAAGAATGTGATTGTTTGACCACTATGCTGTACACCTGAAACTAATAAAAAATAATGTAAACTGTAATTGGACAATAAAATTAAGAAAAATGTCTTAAAAAATAGCAAAGAATTATTAGGTTAACTTCACCTACTGTTCTGTTGACTGTCAGGTTGTGTGCAAGACACACACACACACACACTCACACTCATACTCACACTCACACTCACACATACATACACGTGAAAGTGCGCTGACCTGCTACTCTCACTGCTGCCCCAGTGCCTGTCTCATCATCCGGGAGTCACACTGGAAACGAGACTCTTTAGCGAACCAGTGGGAGAGTAAATACTTCCAGCATGAGATAAAGCAGAACTTGAATCATAATTGAGTGTCCAGCAGAGTTTCAGCAGCATGATGGGAAAAGGAGGAAAAAGGGAAAGGGTTCAAATGGAAGACTTCACGCTGCAGAGTGAGATGAAACAAGAACACTGACTCAGATTCCTTCTGAAAAAAGGATGAGAGTTGATCATGTTCCACAGTGACTAGTGCTCCTGTGTATACTGGTGTTTGTGGGATTGATTTGTCTTTTAGGGGCTTTGGGTTTTTCAATCTTTGACTTAAATCAGAATAGTTTTGCACTATTTTTTCTTTAATTTTCTGATTATAAAAAAAATTGTTTATTGTCATGCATTGAGAAAATACAGGAAATACAAAGAAGAATGACAAGCATGCCCAAACCCAGCACCTGCTTGTCTCTTCCTTTACTCATCAGTTATTTATAAAGTACCTGCTGGGTGCCAGGCCCCAGGCATGGTGCTGGACAAACCCTCCCTGACAAGGTGGCCTTGTGGGGTTTTCTTAGAGCTTCCAGTTGTCTGGCTAACGGCTAGCAGTTTACTATATTCTTACTGTGCGTTGGATCCTGTTTAGGTGGTTTACATGGCGTGTATGAACTTGGTCCCTCTAGCACACAACAAGGGAGGTGCGGTTATTCCCACTTGAGAGATTGGGAGACTGAGGCACAAAGAAGTTAAGCAATTTGCTAAAGGTCACAGAATCAATAAAGGCAGACTTTTGGTTAAAACCCAGGCAGCCTGGCTCCAGAACCTGACCTATTACTGAGCTGTACTGCCTCTCATAATATTATAATATTATCATGTTATACTCTACAGACAGTTCTGATTCCTACATTTATGTTGGCCATTAACCTATGCATGAACTGTGTATAACTTTTTACCTCGAAATGAAGTAGAATTTTAATTTACTCACTTGTTTAATAGAATCATAATGAAATAAGCATATATAGAAATGTGATGATAAGCATTTAAATGCTACAGCGATCATTAAGATTTCTTAATGCTTATCATAATTTTTTATTTTATTTTTCTTTAATTTTATTTTCCAATTACAGTTTACACTCAGTATTATTTTATATTAGTTTCAGATGTACATCATAGTGGTTAGACAGTCCTATACCTCGTACAGGATTCCCCATCCCCCCATCATAATTTTTTTAATCCAGTCATTTTAAGAGGAGTTCACATGGACAAGTTGTTGTAGGAAATTAAATATTTTGTAGTCGTGTTTGATTTCATTGCAGGAAAATAAATGCAAATTCCGATAAAGGTAATGAGCTGTTGATGCCGACGACTGTTCTGGAAATGAATCGTTAACGTGGAATTGTGCTGGAGCTTGCACTGGAGAGATTGTATATCATTGTATATTATGGAGAGATTGTATATTATATTAGGGTGGCTGTGAGACTCAGGGCTTCATGGCCTGTGTTCAGACCAGGATGGTGTTTAGGTTCATTTTAGACAGAAATTCCCCAGGAGGAGCTGTGTCCATGGGGACACTTGGACAGGAACCTGTGCTGCCGTTCAGAGCTAGTTGCAGAGCGGGCACGTGGATGCTCTGTGTGAGCATTGTGGATATTCGTGAGTGGTAACATTGTGTACCAGCAACATAGAGTCTGCATTCAAGAAAGGTACAGGTTCATGAACTGTAAAGAGATTTCAACTAATAAATGAAAACTTAAAAATGGACACATAGGATACATTGGAATGGTGGGGGACTCAGCGGACATAGGTTGGGGTTCCAGTGCCCCACGTGTATTCACTATATGGCCCCAGGCAAGTTCCTTGGCTTCTCTGAGCCTTGGGTTCTCTTCATGCTACCACTTGCCTTCTGGAATTGAAGGATTGAATGAGTACATAACACACCTGGTCCCGTGCCCAGCACTTGAGAGAGGATCCATTAATGGTAACTGTCATTATTTGCTATTAAATATGTTTTTTAAAAATATATTTTTATTGATTTTTTTTACAGGGAGGAAGAGAGAGGGACAGAGAGTTAGAAACATCAATGAGAGAGAATCATCAATCAGCTGCCTCCTGAACACCCCCCACCGGGGACATGCCTGCAACCAAGGCACATGCACTTGACCGGAATCAAACCCAGGACCTTTCAGTCCACAGGCCAACGCTCTATCCACTGAGCCAAACCGGCTTCGGCTTAAATATGTTTTAATCTTCTTTCCAAATACCTGTAACAGAGTGGCTTAGCATGCATATGAAAGCAAGACTGTGTTCCAGCCCCGGCTCTGCTGCTCCTAGCTCTGTGACCTTGGGCGAGTGACTTACATTCCCCGTGTATCAGGTTGCTTTCTTTAAAACGGAATAGTTCGAGCAGCTATGTCTCAGGGCAGTTGGGTGCTAAGTAAATTACTGTACATACATAGTGAGCACGAGGTGAATGTCTGCTCTTACTACTACCAATGTACTCACTCACTCAGAAAAAGGTGTATTGCACCTTAAATAAGCAGGCGTCTTTGGACATTTCCTCAGCTTCTACAACGTTTGCTTACTATTTATATGTTGTTAGATGTCTATAGTTCAGACGTAGTTTATTACAGTGCATAATAAGACATGAATCACCAGTCTGGGTAATGTCATCCTGTGGTGAGGAGAATCTTCTGATTTGGCAACACGTTTGAATATAAATGGTTATTGAAAAAAATGACCATTCTGAAATGCCCTTTTCCCGTCCAGATTATTCCGAGCTGGGAGAGCTGCCGCCGCGGTCTCCGTTAGAGCCAGTGTGTGAGGATGGGCCCTTTGGCCCGGTCCCGGAGGAGAAGAGAAGGACGTCCCGCGAGCTCCGAGAACTGTGGCGCAAGGCGATTCTGCAGCAGATCCTCCTCCTCCGGATGGAGAAGGAGAACCAGAAGCTCCAAGGTCAGTCTGCCGTGTTTTACGCTCAGCAGGCCCGATGATCATCACTTATCTCGGCGTGGAAGTGAAATCACACCAGACATAAGCGTGCTGTCTTTAAAAGAAAGCAAGACAGCCGAAACTGGTTTAGCTCAGTGGATAGAGCATTGGCCTGTGGACTGAAAGGTCCCAGGTTCGATTCCGGCCAAGTGCGTGTACCTTGGTTGCGGGTACATCCCCAGTAGTGGATATGCAAGGGGCAGCTGATCGATGATTCTCTCTCATTGATGTTTCTTACTTTCCCTCTCTCTTTATCTCTGTATAAAAATCAATAAAATATATTTAAAAAAGAAAGAAAGAAAGAAAGACACTCTCCCGTGCCTACAACTTTACATACAACTGCACAACTACATGCATGTAAATTTCTGTTTACTTTAACATATCAGTAAGATTAACACCACTTTTTGGAGACCCAATGATCTCACTAACTGTATCCGTTATTTGTATATGGTCATTTTTAGCATAGTGTCTAGAACTTCCAAGAGACAACCTGCAAATGTAAGCTCTAACCTTCTAGAAGTGGATTTTGTTTTGTTCTCGCCTCTCTCTCCCTGCTTTGCCCTCAGCCATAGTCTGTGCCTCCATGTTACATATGAACTAATCCAACATACTAGTGATCACTAACTTCATCACCTCACTCTGTGTGCCTGGTTAGTGAGCTGCAGGAACCGGACAGGCCAGCGTTAGCGGAGCTTGGCCTGTGTGCTCTCTGGGTGTCCACGCAGCCAGGCTCCCTCGGTCCTCAGGACAGCTCCAGGGTTTACTCTGAAGGAGAAAGGAAACTAGAACCCAGAGAAGCCAAGCAACCTGTCAGGGATCACTTCAGAATCAAAATAAGCGGTGAACTCTGCAAGCTTAGATTTTGTTCATTTCCTGTTTCCATGCTGTCACTTGAAGCAATGAGTATTATTTTCGAAGCAGCTAAGAGCTGAGTTTATGTTCCCTGGATGGTATAATGGAAAGAACGTGGGACTTAGAGTGGAGAGAGCGGCATGGCTATAAATAATGAGGAACTTGATCAGGGAGTCTGGGCGCACTGTCAGAGGGAGCCCGGGCAGGGAGTTCAGCCGTGCCGTCACTCCCAAGGAGACTTTGGAATTAGAGTCCAGCGGTCTCCTGTTAGCTGTGGTTTTCAGTTAACCTGTGGTCTGCAAATATTAAGTGGAAAATTCCAGAGGTAAACAATTCATAAGTTTTAAAGTGTGTGCTGTTCTGAGTATTGTGATGAAACCTTGAGCTCTGTCCCCCTCCATCCTGCCCGGACATCAACCATCCCTTTGTCCAACATTTACTTGCCGTTAGCCATTCAGTAGCGGATTCAGTCATCGGAGTCACAGTCACGGTGTCACCGTGCCTGTGTTCAGGTCACCTTTATTTTACCCAGTGATGGCCCCGAAGCACAACAGTGGCGATACTGGCAATTCGGATGTGCTTCCTTTAAGGGAGAAGGTGAGTATGTACAGGGAGAACATAGCGTATAGAGTGCCCAGTAACCTCTGTGGTTTCAGGCATCCCTTGGAGGCACCCATCCCCTGTAGATAAGGGGGTGGGAGACTGCTGTATGTTTCATTGAACTCCTTCCCTGATTGTCCATCTTCATCTTTTATTTACTTATTTTTTTAAATATATTTTTTATTGATTTTCTTACAGAGAGGAAGGGAGAGAGATAGAGAGCTAGAAACATCGATGAGAGAGAAACATCGACCAGCTGCCTCTTGCACACCCCCTATCGGGGATGTGCCCACAACCAATGTACATGCCCCTGGCCGGAATAGAACCTGGGACCTTTCAGTCCGCAGACCGACGCTCTACCGCTGAGCCAAACTGGTTTCGGCCCATCTTCATCTTTTAATAACCATCTTGCTGTTTGTAAGAAGCTGAAAGTCATTAAGACACTAGATTTGATTCCTACGTTTCATAGTCCAGTTAAGTCTATTATCTTTGACCAAAAACAAGAAATGAAATAGGAAGTAATAAGACCTTTTTTTTTTAATATATTTTATTGATTTTGTACAGAGAAGAAGGGAGAGAGGTAGAGAGTTAGAAACATCGACGAGAGAGTCATCGATCAGCCGCCTCCTGCACACCCCCCACTGGGGATATGCCCGCAACCAAGGTACATGCCCTTGACCGGAATCGAACCCGGGACCCCTCAGTCCCCAAGCCGACGCTCTATCCATTGAGCCAAACCAGTCTCGGCAATAAGACCTTTTGATATGAAAGTAGCCCAGCCGTTTTAAGAGACGCAGCATCGAAGCTGAGTGAGATGAGCCGCCCCGTGAGGCTGCTGCAAGTGCTAGGACTTCTCCCAGCTCCATGTTTCTCCCAGTTTCCTGTGGGTCCCTGAGGTGATTAACTCTAAAAGCAGCGACCCAAAGGAGCTCTGATGGGGATGGCATCACGGAGCGTGTCATCAGTTGAGTGACAGCTCTGGAGCACAGCAGCCACGCCCCTGTGCATGTTGGTTGAGATTTGAAAGGGAAGGGCAGTCGTGTTTATCAGATAGGCCATACACCTTAGTGCCTGTCCTGGTTGACTGTGCACATGACAGCCAAGGAAAGTGGGCTCCCCTGTGAAACGGGGATGATGCTGGCTGGCCTCCAGGAATATCTGGGAAGGATCAGGGTAGCACAGAAGCAGAGTTCCGGGAAAGCTGTGTAAATGGCGACTTGCCCAGCCAGCGTGAGCTGGGACATTTCCTGAGGTCACCTGGCAGGGTGTGTGTGCACTGGCCCTGCCCAGCGCCTCTCCGCTGCTTCCTCATTTCACCTGCAGCGTTCTGTCCTGTGTGGCCTTTCGTTTTTACCGCTGGGATTCATTTCTCTTTTTAGTTCTGTGAAGTCCAACACATGTTGACCTTTGTGCAAAAGCACAGTCAGCTTGCTAAATGTAATTTAGAAAGCATTGTATCAGTGCATGCAGGACCTATATTGCTGAGAAATCATCATCAGTAAAAACCTGTTTGTGAATTACTTAAAAATATTTAGTAAGCTGGGTTGAGGTGGGATAGGGGGCAGGATTTTGTCATTAAACTTATCAGGGAACGCACTGTGTGCTAGAAATCAGTCATTCTATTGCTCCCTCCCCCCCCCCCCGCCCCCAATTGCTTTTACAAAGGAAAGTTAAATTTCCTGGGAGTGGCTGGGAGTGGCTCTTAAAATTGATCACGGGGTCAGGCCAGCTGGCAAGCTCTTTGGAAAAGAAACGGAAGAAACACGTATGAGGTCCTGCCTACCATTACGCCTAGTTCCTGCCTTTTGCGTATATGGACCAAATATTATTACAGTTCTAGAAGCATTGCATCTGAGAAAGAACCAAACCACGTCATTGAAATTGGCCTTGCTCTGTAGAGTGTAGACAGGGGGAGGCTGAATTGTAACTCCCCAGTTAAACAGCTTGTTTTCCGGTGATGTGGGGACTAACGGGCACCCCCAGCAGTCCCCCGCATGCCCCTCCTAAGGCCCTTCTCTCTCTACAAGCGGAGACGCAGGCAGCCTGTTGCCAGGCAGCAGGGCATGGTTCAGTGCAAGCCTAGCTCTTGTCTGCACGTTACTGCCTGTCGGACCGACTCTCATAGTTCAGCATTTCTTGTTTGAGATTAAAACGATACAGGTATTACATCTGCATAGTGACCCATCGAATTTGGAATTTTAATTGAATTGTAACTGAAGATACTTCTTCCCCTGGTTAGACAAATGTTACACGTTGGTTGTAAAAATATTAAATATAACGGGTTCAGTTCTTCCAAAATCCCTACAAGCTCGGGGGCCATTTAACTACTGAGGCTCCCAGGCCCCTAGCCTTCTCTCTCTCTCAGCTTTCCGGAGGCGGTGGCGGTGGGAAGTGCTCTCGCTGTGGAAGCAGTTGCTAACGGCGCAGAATTGGGAATGGCAGCCACAGCCCACCCTACACAAGGGACGTAAATCCAATCTGAGCATTAGCCTGAAGTCCAAGTTAGCTCACGTGTCCATGTTAAACAATAACAAGTGTTTCCATGACTCTCCTGCTATCCTGGTTTCCCCAGCCCCAGAAACTCACCCACCGGGGTCTGCAGACCCTGGTTCACTATTTCAGTTTCTAAAAATCTTGCGTTGGCACCTTGATGTTTGTCACTGGCCTGCACCATCTGCCTTGGGTGACAGGCATTTTGGATTTTAGGAAGTGGTGGGGTCAGGATGCTGCTGCACAGTAGGATGTTTCCTAGCCCCGTGGTCGGCAAACCACGGCTTGCAAGCCACATGCGGCTCTTTGGCCCCTTGAGTGTGGCTCTTCCACAAAATACCACGGCCTGGGCGAGTCTATTTTGAAGAAGTGTCGATAGAAGAAGTTTTAAGTTTAAAAAATGTGGCTCCAAAGAAATTTCATTCGTTGTATTGTTGATAGTTGGCTCTGCTGACTAATAAGTTTGCCGACCGCGGGCCTCGGCCAGCAGCAGAATGCACGGACCAAGCCTTTGCAGCTGCACCTTCTGGCCAGATGCTTCCGTCCTGTAGACTCAGAGCCTGTCTCTTGTGTTGCCTGCCGGCCTCTCAGTGCAGCCAGACGCTCCCAGGCAGGCCGAGGTCACGGCCAGGGAAATAAGTGTGCATGGCTCCCGGAGCCCCGTGCCGCTTGCATTAAGCAAGGCCAGGCCTGACCCGATTTGCTACGGGGGTTAGTTCAATGCTAAGGATACCTTCTGTGCTTCCTCGAAGCCATGAAAAAATCTGGAGCTGACATTTTTTAAAACATTTGAACTCCATGGATCTAGGGAATTGTTTAGCAGGACCTCGCAAATTCTTCAAAGTAAGAAGGAAAAGAGGAGAGAGAGATGAAACATTGCAAAAAATAAGAGAGCACTAGGCCTGAGTCACTTGCTACCCATTGCCAGTCAGTAACCTTGTCAAGCCCTTAATTGCTCTGAGCTCCAGTGACTGTGCCTGTGAGTGAGGGGCTGGGCCAGGGGTCTCTCGGGCCTTTGCAGTGCCCTGTTTTGATGTATTTGTTCTGAGCAATGATAATTGGGCCAGTGAATCCATGCGTCAGAGGAGTAAGGTCCACCACCAGGGTCCCCTGAGCCAGATTTACTGCATTAGCATTTGCTAAATTTCTAGATCGGAAAAAGAAAGTATTTTATTTTACATCATCAGCACTTCGTTTGTAAAGCAACATTCTGTGCCTTCCACCGTCTATAGCTTTGATAATATAATTTGTGATGCATGTGGGGGTGAGCAGGCATTGTGTGCATGCTTGCTCTAGTTCATCACATTTAATCCTCACAAGAGCTACTCGGTGAAGTAGCTGTAATTCTCATTTTATTCATTTATTATTTTTATTTATTTCAGAGAGGAAGGGAAAGGGAAAGAGAATCACTGATCGGCTGCCTTATGCACGCCCCACACTGGGGATTGAGCCTGCAACCCAGGCATGCACCCTGACTGGGAATCATCACCGGGAATCAAACTGTGACCTCCTGGTTCATAGGTCGATGCTCAACCACTGAGCCAACCAGGCCGGGCTGTAATTCTCATTTAAAAAGTAATAGGAACTGGTGTTCAGAACCAAAGCAGAGGGCTTCAAATCCTGCCATCACAGGGCACAGGAAGGACCCTGCTCAGCCTTGGCCGCCTCCAAATGAAACGTGGTTGCCGGGGGGAGAGCATGTATATCTGCAGGGAGTCAAGGACACACTCATGAGGTGTATGCACTGACTTACCAGTGTCTGTAGGAGGAAGAGCAAATTTATGCCAATAAACTTGACTACTTAGATGAAGCAGACAAACCTCTCAAAAAGATACACTTGACCAAAAACTGGTAAGTGCTGACAAGAGCAAAAAGATTGGAGTGGCCGCAGACCTCTTAAATAGATCATATTTGTATTGAAAACCTTTCACTGAAGAATACTCCAGGCTCAGATAGCTGCCCCGGATTCTATAAAACATTTAAGGCCCCTAACTGACTTGGGCCCAATCCCAGAAAAGACAGGTAATCACTCGCAGCAAGCTTCGTAGCACCCCGAGGCCGGGTCCCAGGGCCGGCTGCTCTGCCTGCTGCTCCCGGACTTCGGGGAGGCTGCTCAGCCCCTGGTGCCTCAGAGGGGCGTTTCAGACGAAAGGTTACTAAACACAAAGTACGTAAGACATGCAGTGTTTGTCATCTTAAAGAAATCGAGTTCGCCAGCTCTGCCAAAGTCTGTATGTTGGCTTATACGTAGCCCTCTATCCTAACTGCTCTCCTGATGAACGCACAGTCCGGATCCCAATGTGAGTGGAGTGGACTCGGTATCTAAATAGGACTTAGTGCTTTTAGGTAGAATTAGGCCATCAGTTTCAACCTTTCTTAGAACTGTCCGTTTAAACTCTTGCTCTATTTCCCTTGCTCCCCTTTGGTGGTTTAGGTATCATCCTTCTTCGTGAAGCTTTAAACGGAATAGGATTGGTGGGAAATACTAGCTACCCTCAGGTGCGAGGAGACGCGTATGAAGAGTGTGCATGCATTCTGTTCCGTTCCGTTCCAGGAAGCAGAAACAGGACTCTCAGTAGAAGCCGGTAGCCTTCTAGAAGGTTTGGCTCGACATGAGAAGGAAGCGTCCTTGGAGAGCCTCTCTCGGCTGAGATAGCGTTTTCTGTTAGGCAGTCGCATTGTGCAGTAGAAGATGCATACGGGGTTCACTAACATGCTCTTCCATGATCTGTCGTAGCTTCCAAAAACGACCTGCTGAACAAGCGCCTGAAGCTCGACTACGAAGAGGTCACGCCTTGCCTGAAGGAAGTGACGGCGGTGTGGGAAAAGATGCTGAGCACGCCAGGAAGGTCCAAAATCAAGTTCGACATGGAGAAAATGCACGCGGCTGTTGGGCAAGGTGAGCCTGACTGGGGAACAGTCCAGCAGACCTCACCCCTCACTGAAGGTTGGGACGCAAACATTTAAAAAAAAGAAACGTTTATGTCCCGTCTCACCCCCTTTTTATCATTCTTCAATTCATCTGTTTCCAGATATCTTAGTTGATGTGACTTTCATCACAGCTCATGACTCCTCTTAAGTACATCAATTAAAATGCCCAGGAAACAGGGAGCAGACAGAGGAAAACCCAAGGACTTAGTTGCCTACAAACTGGGTAACGCTATGAAGATGCACCCTGAGTTCAGTAGTAAGCTGAGAACTAGCTGGGTGGCTTCCCTCCGAGTACTCTCGGGAGACAGCAGTTCTACTATTTTTTATTTTTTACTTTTTTAGTATGGTCCAAACTGTTACTGGTCCAAGATGAATACCGAACTTAAGACTAAGTCTTTAGAAACTTTTCCAGCAATTTGACAGATCCTAACGAAAAATAGTGGACTTTTATTTCCCCCCTCTCCCTTTTATTTTTCTACTAATTCATTTTGTGCTAAGTTTTATAAAAGTACCAGTTTGCTGTGGATTGGAGAATCTTAAAAGAAAAGCTGGTCCTCCATCACAGATAGTTGGGGAAGCACCATGCGAGAGCTTAACTTCAATGATTATCAACGATCATCAGTGTCCAAGTGAAACAGCCAATTCTTTTAAAATGCATATGAGTGTCTGCTGGCAAGGGCGGGGCTTTGTGAATCTAATCTGATTCCGGGGCTCCTGGGATCTGGCCGGTCTAGTCCGAGTAACCAAGTGTTTAGAAAAAGGGTTACAGATACATATAAATCTTACGGTTTTCTTCTGACTTCATTAGCTGATCAATGGGAGAAGATACACAAGCCTCATTCATCTCTAAGAGAGCAAAGGGGCAAGTGGTTTTGTTCAATAGTCAATTAGGCATTACCTAACCTTTATCTGGGTTTTGACAGCATCCATTTTATTTTGTTTTATTTTTAATATATTTTATTGATTTTTTTTTTTTTTACAGAAAGGAAGAGAGAGGGATAGAGAGTTAGAAACATCGATGAAAGAGAATCATCAATCAGCTGCCTCTTGCACACCCACTACTGGGGATGTGCCCGCAACCAAGGTAGATGCCCTTGACCGGAATGGAACCTGGGACCTTTCAGTCCGCAGGCCGACGGTTTCAGCGACAGCACTCATTTTAGTAACACATAATTATTACTAGTATGACTTTCCCTTTCTATGGATAAGAAGGAGACTTGGGCTTAGAGCAGTTGAGTAATGGCCAGAGCTGGTCCACACACACACACCCACCCACACACACACACACCACACCGTTCTGGGCAGCGCAGGCCCTGCTTGTGGTTGAGCTGTGCCACCACCGTGCTGTTCTCTGAGGCCAGAAATAGGGCAGGTGGGGGACACAGGTTGCAGATGGGCCAGGCTCCCTGTGTGAGCTCTGGCAGGTGTCCTCACTTTGCTGGGCTCTGGCCCCCTGGCTGCGAGAGCGGGGGGTGTGGACCAAGCAGAGAGTCTCAGAGCGCTCTTCCCGTGCTCACATAGTGATTGCTGGAGGCTTGCCATTGCATCACGTGGCCCCAGATAGCCGTTTTGGAAAAGGAGGAAGGAAGCTGAGGAAAGGATGAGTTCATTCTGTCCCCTTTCACTGTTGGCTATGTGATGGTCTTCAGGTGGCGCTGCTTCTGCAAAAGGTAAACCTCCCAGGGCCTGTGACAGCTGTTCCAGATGTTTGACTTTCTTAGAAGCCTGACACCTGGTATACTGGTTTTTGTCATGCATTTTCGTGGGGGCGGGGGTGCTACTAGAAATACTGTCAGTATCTGGACCCTGTGTAGTGGCGTTAAGGATAAGTAGTTAGACAATGTGTGTACTGAGGTGAGCTGAGGCTAACCTGGAAAAATGTGTTTCCGTCATTGCCACCTGGCTCTCCGTGGCAGGAACGGTCTCTCTCACTATTGGAGGGGCTTTGTCAGTTATTCAGCTGGCTTCTACACATAGGACCTAGTTACTGCAAACAGATGGCCACAGTCCAGCCTGCAGCTCAGAATAAGAGAATGAGGTTAAGTCAGAACCACACCCCCGGCCTTCCAGGTAGAGGCCGAGTCACCTCCAAGCCCTTAACAGAAAAGACAGTCCCCGTGCGGGTAAGAGCCCCTGCCTGATGGAAATGAAGGGGTTTATGAACTTTCCAAGTTAAAACCGAATCAGAGCTGCAGGATTAGGATGTCAGCTTGGGAGAAGGAGGAATAGTTTCGGGGAATTTTACATACTCCGAAGTTTAGCTTGGGTTTAAAAGATTCCTTTAATGGTTTATTTAAATGATCTCATTTATCTAACGAATAAAAGATGCTAAGGAGAACTTTGTGGACCAGAGTGTGCTTTTCTGGAAGTGGCATTGCCAAGCGGCTGGCTCCCTGAGCCGTGGGCAGGGTGGGCTGGAGGCAGACGGCTTACCTCTGACCCAGCAACGCCCCGTATAGAAACCTAGATGCGATCAGTCCGCAGCGTTCTGCGGTGGGGAAGGATGCTTATTGTGGCATTGTTTATAAAGGCCAGAATATAGAACAGAGCCAGAATCCCCAACTGTGGGATCACGCCCACGTCTTACTCCCTGAAAATGACGGCACATTTGTATGGATGCACAAGAAGGAATCAGTAAATGAAAGAAGGCGCCCGGTGTGTGTGTCTGCAGGAAAACATCCTGAGGTGTCCGCAGCCCTCTGAGTAACGGGCAGGATGACCATGCATCTGGCTGCCTGGCACAGCCCTGTTTCACAGCCTGTTCCAGTGAGATCATTAATACCCTGCCTCCCCTTCGCTCTCAAAGCATCCTGCTTTGTACGGTGATTTATATAGTCCCTCTGGTTGTGGGTAGTTTTCATTTTCTTCTTTATGCCTGTGGCTTTTCAGAAGTTTTTTATTTAAATAGTGAGCACGTATTGCTTCTCAAGTCATAAAAAATGAAGAGGTACGTTTTACGTTTGGGTGGAAGGCAGCCGCCGGTCCACGCGGAGCCCTGCCTGCGGGTCCTGCGCAGACTCCCCCAGGTTCCTCCCTTCTGTTAGGAGAGGAGGCACAGCCAAGGTTGGGAAGGTTACTCCAGGTCATTCTTAGCGAACACATGTGCGTGACCCTTTGTTTTTAAAGAACAGATCTAAGCCTTTTCTTAAATACTAGAGTATGTGGTACTGTTCAGTGACAGCCCGTGTTTTTTTCCTTGAAAAATAAAATAAAATAAAATAAAGGTCTGATAAGTTTAATGGGAACGATTTAGTAATAAGAGGAAATTGTTCATCTCAGAACTGGGAAAACTTCCCAGTTGGAAAAAGCTATTTTGTGAAAAGCCCCACTATCAATCACTTAACATGTTGTTCAGGATGCACTTCTTTCTTTCTTTTTTTCCCCTTAACTATATTTTTATTGATTTCAAAGAGGAAGAAGGGAGAGGGAGAGAGCGGCAGAGACATCAGTGATGGAGGGAATCATTGATCGGCTGCCTCCTGCACGCCCCCTCGCACAAGCAAGAGGTTCTGTGAGATCTGATTTCCTTCATGTCCACGCCCTTGGGTCACGCCCCTTTTACGAGGTGACATTCTGTGGTAGAGTTACATGCGTTGTCTTCTCTCTCAGGGCACAGTGAATTGGCACCAGGTAGATGGCTCCCCCCGCCCACTGTTTATCCCTGGAAGATTCTAGCATAATCCCAAAGCGTGTATATTTGAAAGGTGAAAGGAAAGTGGGAAGGGGACAAGGGGTATGAGGGGAAAGATGGAGGGCACAGAGGAAGGAAGGAAGGGAGCAAATAGAACAAAATTCTGGCTGTTTCCTATGCTGCTAGTTATAACGGAACAAGAATTCAGATCGATGGACTACAACCCAATTCATTTTTAAAATTTATTTTATTGATTTTTTTTTACAGAGAGGAAGGGAGAGGGATAGAAAGCAAGAAACATCGAGGAGAGAGAAACCAACGTACATGCCCTTGACTGGAATCGAACCTGGGACCCCTCAGTTCGCAGACCGACACTCTCTCCGCTGAGCCAAGCCAGTTTCGGCTCAGTTTTATTATGAAGCTGTGTTCTGTGCATAAAGTCCTTCTGTATTTCCCGCCCTCCCCACCCCCAGGTGTGCCGCGCCACCACCGCGGCGAGATCTGGAAGTTCCTGGCGGAGCAGTACCACCTGAAGCACCAGCTGCCCCCGAAGCAGCAGCCCAGGGACACGCCGTACAAGGAGCTCCTGAAGCAGCTCACCTCCCAGCAGCACGCCATCCTCATCGACCTCGGTGAGTGCGGATGGATGCGGCGTGCGAGCGGAAGCTGCACTCGCTAGAGACATCTGGGGAGACCGTCCGGGTTATTTAGCGATCTGCCTCTAGGCTTAGCCGTCAAGCTTTGCCGCCGAGACTTTCAATTAAACAAAGCCCCGGAGTAATCAGGGATGCCCCCGCCAAGCACGCATGAAAGCCTCTCTCCCTCCCCGGGCAGCTGCTGAGCCTGCTCAGCGGGCAGAGGGGCAGGCACGAGGGCTCCAGGCGTGACTGTGGTTCAGGCCAGTCAGTCACCTATTGTCAGGCAGCTTTACAGCGGAACGAAGGAGCATCCGAGGAGACGGGAGTGTCAGGGCTGAGGCCTGTGGCGATTGATTACAGGAGACATTCCCCAGCCTTTGCTGCCTTCCAGCAGGGTTTATTAGAGAGACTGCAGAGAGCAGACTGTTTGCGCCCGGGGCAGCGTTATTTTGGAAAAGGGCAGGCATGTTGTCCCTTGGGTAGCTTTGGAAATGCTCCGATGGGAACCAGGGGTTGGACACGGGCCGCGACCACAGCGAGGAGCACGTGTGATGGGGATGTGATGAGGACACACAGAAGAGCCTCCGGCTTGTCTGAGGCGCCCGGCGGCGGCGGCAGCGGCGGCAGCGACTGGCGCATCCTCTCCGCCTGCCGTCTCTCTCGGGGTCCCTGTCTCCCCCAGCGGCAGGGCTCCCGGGGGGCATGGGCTCCGTGTGAAGGCGCAGGAACCCGGCCCCACTGCCTGCAGAGCCCGTGGCCCTGCTTCTTGGATGCTCACCCAGGACCCCCCGCTGTGCATCAGGCCTGGCAGTGCCCGGCTCTTCAGGGCCCGCGGCGGCCGGGTGATGGGAGGCTGTGCCCAGGAACTCGGGGAGCCGGCTCAGGCAGCGTGGAGGCTTTGCTGTCCAGTCACACAGCACTCCTCAGGGCCATTTTCATAAATATCACTCCTGATCTAAGCTCAGCCGTCATCTCTGAGAAACTGGCCCAGGCATAGCTCTTCTCCTGCCTTTTGGCTGGATGAGGTGCCCTGCTAAGCCATCTGTCCCACCCATAGCTGACCCTCCCCACCCCAATGACACTTACCACATTGACTAGTGCTACAGTTATCGTTAGCGTTCACAGCTGATACTTCACTTTACCTTACACCAAGTGTTTGTGATGTTTACTTAAAACTACTTCCTGTAGCCGAAATGGGTTTGGCTCAGTGGATAGTGTGTCAGCCTTCAGACTGAAAGGTCCCGGGTTCCATTCTGGTCAAAGGCATGTACTTTGGTTGCAGGCACATCCCCAGTAGGGGGTGTGCAAGAGGCAGCTGGTCAATGATTCTTTCTCATTGATGTTTCTAACTCTCTATCCCTCTCTCTTCCTCTCTGTAAAAAATTAATAAAAATATATTAAAATAAATAAATAAATAAAATATATTAAAAAGCTGCTTCCTGTAATCCTCATAGCACCTTCCTGTCCCCTTTGAGAGCTGAGAAAACGAATTGCAGAGAGAGGTGGGAGAGTACCTTGCTCCGAGGGACTCAGCCTGTGCTGCTGAGCACCCTGCACTCCCCACAACTGTCCTTGGTGCTGTGGCAACGGCGGCAGCTTTTTTATTTTTAAATATGTTTTTATTGATTTTAGAGAGAGAGGGAGGGAGGGAGAAGGAAGGAAAGATAGAAACATCGATGAGAGAGGAACATGACCAGCTACCTCCTGCACCTCCCCCCCCCCCCACCCCAAGCACTGGGATCCAGCCTGCAATCTGGGCATGTGTTCTGTCTGGGAATCGAACCATGACCTCTTGGTGTCTGGGGCAGGTTGACGCTCAACCACTGAGCCACACTGGCCAGGTGCAGGAGCAGCTTTTTCTTTTTTTTCTTTTTTAATATATTTTATTGATATTTTACAGAGAGGAAGGGAGAGGGATAGAAAGCTAGAAACGTCGATGAGAGAGAAACATCGACCAGCTGCCTCCTGCACACCCCCCACCGGGGATGTGCCCGCAACCAATGTACATGCCCTTGACCGGAATCGAACCTGGGACTCTTCAGTCCGCAGACCGACGCTCTACCACTGAGCCAAACCTGTTTCGGCAGGAGCAGCTTTTTCATTGCCTTTCTCCCCACGGGATGCACGGCCCTGGGGGCTTGGACTGGGGCTGTTTCCCCACTGCTCCCCTAGCTCCGAGGGCAGAGCTTTTCCCGTGTTCAATGGGTCTTTGGAGATGTTGAAGCTCCTCGAGCTCACGTGACCCTCACGACAGCCCTGAGATAAGAAATGAGGGAACTGAGGCACAGGCCGGTCAGATGGTGACCACGGCCACACAGTTTAACTGGCAGCCTAAACCCACTGTGGCTCTGTGTCATAAGGGCCCCCCGAGCCCAGGAGCCCGCGTGTTCCCTTGGAAACACGTGGCTGGGTGGGGCGGATGCTGACAGGCCGTGATTACACCTCGGGGACCAAGTGGCGCTGGTGCCCGTGTGGCCCACTGACCCCGGGCAGAGCAGTTCTGTGAATTGGCAATAGCTCTGTTCGCTAATGTGGTGAGTAACAGAAAAAATGACATCATGTTCCTGTCATGTGAAATGAAGTGAAAAATGAATTCAGAGTAGGAGGTGGAAAGGGAGGGAGCACAGACAGTTTTTCTGTGGCGCCCTTACCCTCCCCTCTCTCTTCCCAGGATCGGGGAGGACTGGGGAGCATGCCTCCCCCTCCTTGATTCGAATGTCCTCTTCTCCTAGCTTCCCTCTCCTTCTTCCATGGCCAGGATGGAATCGCTTTCCCGCAGGCGGAGGGAAGATGCCAGCTCAGCCCGGGGCCGGGGTGCCCTCTCCCTGGGGAGCTGTCTGCCAGGGCCACACCCAGGGTGGCCTCCCCTGGCCTGAGGCCTGCTGACGCCTTTCCCCGCTGTGGAGCCTAGGGTGGGCCTTTCTCATTCGCAGGCAGGGCCAGCTCCATGCCCATCAGCGCCATGCTCCCTGGCTCCCACCCCACAGGCCAGCTGCAGCCACCTCCTCTCTGCCCGCTACTCCCCTCCCCGTCCCCCAGACTCCTTCCCCGGCCGGAAAGAAGCTCCGTTCCCAGCAGTGCCGTCCCCGGTAACCTCAGTGCATCTCTCCAGGCTCTGCCCGGGGACCTGCCGGGGCCGGCTCTCTCTGCTCTGGAACTGGCCGGGCCTGTCTCCGGTGGCTCTGCTGGAGCAGGGAGGCCTCACCGAGAAGGCCTCCACGCGGCCAGTTGCTTCCCCCACCTCTCACCAAGAGGAGCCAAGGCAGTTGTTTAGTCTGTGCTTCCTGTTTAGTCTGCACTGAGGGCTCAAGAAAGGTGGATAGTCCAGAGCGAGTCAAATCCCATTTCAGCTTTTCTTCAAAAGTGACGCCCGTCCTCTGGCCGGAAGAACGGAACGTGTGCCGGTTGGACATACTCTTTGAGTTTTCATGGATTTTTCTTTTCCTGCTTCTTTGTTTACTTTGTGAAAATCAGATGTTAGTCTGATCAACATTTTTGCAAGATTTTTTTTTTTTTTTCTTACGAGGAGTAAGAAGGGTAGACTGTAGTTGGGCAATGTTTTATAGTTTGGGGACATTCTCTAGCTGTGTCGGATCTCAACGTTATCCAGCCCTGAGTGAGCATGGGCACCTGTTACTCCAGTTTCCGGTGACCGAGGGGCCCAGAGAGATCAAGTCCTTTGCCCAGTTACAAGCTGCTGAGTGGCAGAAAGTGCTAGAACCCAGATCTTCTTAATCTCCTATTATGTCCTTTCCGATACCGTATCGCTCTGTTTATCTTGCTCTGCCGATTGCATACCACACAGCTCTCCTCCCGGAGTTAGGTGGCGTAACGCCCCCTCAGAGCTGGCCACACCCGGCCGGGTCTGCTGGTGATTCCAATGACCAGCCCATCCCTACCCTGTGCCCATGCACTCGCTCTCCTGGGTCTGCTTGGAGGCTAGGGGAGGGGAGACTGGGATGGCGGGGGCGGGGTGATGGAGTGAGGAGCTTCCTGTGTATTTCCAGTCTCTCTGAGAATCAGCAGAAAGCAGTGTACTTATGCGGTCAGCATGGCAGCGTGTGTGTGTCTGTCGAGCACTTGGATATGGCTGGTGAACACTCAGGTGTGCTGTCAGTAAAGAATACACTGGATTTCAAAGGCTTAGTATGAGCAAAGAATGCAGACTGTCTCCATCGTTTGTATATTGATTACATGTTGAAAATGACAGTATTCTGTCTATGTTGGGTTAGACAGGATGTCTTAGTAAAATCAGTTTCACCTGTCACTTTCCCACGTGGCCGCTGACAGTGTCACACGGTGTCTGTGGCTCGCACCCAGGGCTGCTGGCGTGCCACTCTGGACCAGGAAGATGTGCAGGCATCCCATACTAGGCACACACTCAGTTCTGCCCGCAGTGGGAAGGGTTCAGAGACCTGGGGACTCCCTCATGGTTCCGAGGTCGGCCCTGGAGAGCTGGGAGGGTAGGTGAGGAGGTGACGGTGCAGCGCTCCACCGGGGAACCGTTGATTGTGTTTCCCGGTGGGAGGGACATGCGTGAGGCATGTTTTGGGAACATTTGTTGGGGGAACCATGAATACAGGACAAGAAATCAGGAACGCAGGTAGGGGACTGTTTCTGCCTCTTCAGTCGAGGGCAGATGAGCCGCCTGGGTGGATGAGTGCTTTCTCAGGAGGCTGAGCAAGAACACAGGGGTGTCCTCTTCCTTTCGCCGGCCGAGGAAGGAAACTGGACAGTCAGCTTGTGGCCCAGATTCACCTTCTGCCTCTGCCGATCTGGGGAGGCCAGGATCCCCACCCGGGTCCCTGCTGGGTCCCCACTGGGCCCCAGCAGCCGAGCATTTTTTTCTCTGCTCCCTGGAAACACATTTCCCCGTAGGTCACATTCCAGGCGAGGGTGAGGTGGATTTGACAAGTATCAACCACAAAAGCCTCCTAACAAAAGAAGTCTTTAAAGCTTTGCTGAATACCAGCTTTTTGTGTAAATAATCAGGATGCTGAGAACTTGTGTTTTTAACCTCTTTCTGGAAGGAAGGTAACTAACTGTTCTGCGTTTTTTTTGTGTGTGGAGAGGAAAACACCTCCCATTCCTCAGTCCGTTTCAAAGTCCTGCCGTGGTTTAAAAGCACAGAAACAGCGCGTGTGGCCCGAAGCCCTCACGGGCACCGGGAAAGCGTCTGGGGCAGCCTGGCAAAGCGCCGGGGAAGGTCTGCAGCCCGCCAGAGCCGGGCCGTCTTCAGACGGGGCTGAGACGGGTGCTCCGCAGGTCGTTTCCTTCTGTTTCTGGTGGATTCAGAATCTGTAGGGCCCGTGGCAGTTCTCATTTGTCCCACCACACAAGACCACGGATGCTTGCTGAGGGGTTAGTTGTAAACGTTATTCATAGAACAACCAGATGACCTTGTACACAGAGCTTCTGCAGGATACCTGGCTTCTGAGGAGCTGTCGCTGTAACCTGCAGGCCATCGGGTTTCTGATCCACAGGCTTTCTTCTTTAAAACTACGACTCATGCCCAAACCGGTTTGGCTCAGTGGATAGAGCATCGGCCTGCAGACTCAAGGGTCCCAGGTTCGATTCCGGTCAAAGGCATGCACCTTGGTTGCGGGCACATCCCCAGTAGGGAGTATGCAGGAGGCAGTTGATCGATGATTCTCTCTCATTGATGTTTCTAACTCTCTATCCCTCACTCTTCCTCTCTGTAAAAAAATCAATAAAATATATTTTTAAAAAACAAATAAATTAAAAAAAAAAAACTATAACTCATGGGTCTTGTTTCCACAGGTCGAACCTTCCCGACGCACCCGTACTTCTCGGCCCAGCTGGGCGCGGGGCAGCTGTCGCTGTACAACATCCTGAAGGCCTACTCGCTCCTGGACCAGGAGGTGGGGTACTGCCAAGGCCTCAGCTTCGTGGCCGGCATCCTGCTGCTGCACATGGGCGAGGAGGAGGCGTTCCACATGCTCAAGTTCCTGATGTTTGACCGGGGGCTGCGGAAGCAGTATCGGCCGGACATGATTATTTTACAGGTAGAACCTTCCGTCTGTTTTTGCGGGAGACAGAGGCCATGGTGTTTAGGATTCCTTTCCAGATCTGATTAAAGAGCTTTTTCTTTAACAACAAAAAACAAGTGTTATCTTTTAGCTATAGCTTATATTCAGTATGTTTGTTTCAAGTGTACAGCGTGGTGGTTAGACAGTTATATACGTTACAGTGTTCACCCCGATATTCCCAGTGCCCACCATCCCTAGTCACGAGTGTTATCACGAAGGAGCTTTCCCACCATCGGTTAGCATTATAATAGTGATCTGTGTGGAGAATGTACTCTGCGAGGCATGACCCGGGGGTTTTATAGGCACTGATCTCCTCACTGACCCTCGGGAACACACTATGAATCGGCTCAATTTGTAAGTGGGAACCCTGAGGCTCAGAGGAGCTACACAGTTTGACCAGGCCACATGGCTGGCCCCTCTGTGTCTGCGGCCCTCCCTTTTATTCTTCATCAAAGCGTCTTCACACGGTCTAACTCCTGTTTCCCACCGTGTTTGCCACTTCCTGTGCCCGGGATCCCACACATGCGGTCCCACCCTCCCCTCCCCCTTGTCATCCAGGGGTCAGCTCACATTATCACATCCTCGGAGAGGCTCCTCCTGACCACCACGTCCCCCCTCGCCCACCCCAGGCGTGTACACTGTGTCATGACGTCTTGTCTCATTTCTCTTGCACCACACTCTCACTGCCTGAAATCACCTGTTTATTTTCTGGGTCCATCTTGGAGCTGCATTCATAGTTCTCAGAACACCAGTGCCTGGGATGCAGTAGACACCCAGGCAGTGTTTGTTGAATGAATCAGTGATGGGAGGGGGGTCATATCAGAAGAAAAGCAAACAACAGTGTGTTTTAAGTGCCAAGTGCTGACTGTGCACCTTCAGAAGTAGGAAAACCGGATCCTGCTTGGGAAATATTCCTGAACGTTGGATCATGTGTTTATGTGGCCACTTACCAGCAAGATACTGTGACTTCAAAGCCTCAGAAAGTATTCTTAGAAAAGGTTATGTTAGTACCGAATTGTGTGGGTAAACGTCCAATTCACTTTGCCCTGAATATGAGCCACGGGGACGTAAATTTCGTGAAAGGAGGCCATTCCACTCACTAGGAGATTTTGACCCATGTCACACTTTCCACGCATCCTGTCAGGTTCCTCCTGAATTCCTCCCTTACCTTTAACCCAGACATCCCTGCCATTTCAGAGCAGAAGGTTCAGGTTTTATATCATCTAATATTGTAACTCACAACTCTTTTGGGGGCTTGTGACCTTGGTGATTAGATTCTTTTTAAATATATATATATATATATATATATATATATATATATATATATATTTTATTGACTTTTTACAGAGAGGAAGTGAGAGAGAGAGAGAGAGTTAGAAACAATGATGAGAGAGAAACATTGATCAGCTGCCTCCTGCACACCTCCCACTGGGGATGTGCCCGCAACCAAGGTATGTGCCCTTGACTGGAATCGAACCTGGGACCTTTCAGTCTGCAGGCTGACGCTCTATCCACTGAGCCAAACCGGTTCCGGCGGTGATTAGATTTTTTAAAAATAAAAACAACAACAGGCCACAGCTGGTACTTACGAGGCCTGGAAAGAGCTTGGTCAAGTTTGGACAAATGCACATCCAACTTCCGGCATCTCAGCAGGGAGCTGCCCCGCTCTGGCCATCGTTTCTCTGGGCTGGGGCAGTGGGGCTGCTGGACTCTGGGCTGAGCCAAACCGGCCGAACTCCACACAGGGAACCCTCTGCTTCGGTGTTGGGGGGCCCAGAGGGAACTTACTAACGGAGCGGGTACAGCAGAGCCGTCCCACAGCAGCACCACGTGTGCTCGCTTCACTCTTAGCACGTTTTTCCGATTCCCTGGGTTGAAGTTTTGCTAGGAATTGTATGTGTAAGAGAATCTATGAAGTGTTTCCGCAAGACAGAAGTTTAGATTCTCTTAGCCAAGGACACGAGGTGGCGGTAAATAGAAAGGAAGTGGTAGGAGACCCAATGTTAGTGTTCTGGGCTTGCACCCATCAGTCAGGGCTTCACATGCAGTGAGCACCCAGGAAGTTCTGGTTGGATACATGAGAAGCTGAGATCAATGAACCAAAGAACATATTGTATTATGCATCTGTGCATAACCGAGGGTCACAGACACATAGTTCAGTGAAGGCCTGGGGGTGTGGGGTAGAGAGGGTCAGTGGGGGAGAGGGAGGGCACATTTGTAATACTTTCACCCATAAAGATACTTTTTTTAAAAAAGGACATCCTGAGCCAGATAGGATGCTTCAGGTTCTAGGAAGCCTTCTCTGTCCTGTGAGTGAGCGCTGACCCCGTGTCCCTGCAGATCCAGATGTACCAGCTCTCGCGGCTCCTGCACGACTACCACAGGGACCTCTACAACCACCTGGAGGAGCACGAGATCGGCCCCAGCCTCTACGCCGCGCCCTGGTTCCTCACCGTGTTCGCCTCCCAGTTCCCCCTGGGCTTTGTGGCCAGAGTCTTCGGTAAGCGGGTGTGCACGTGGCCAGAAAAGCATTTTCTGTCCTCCTCGGTGAGGCTTCTGGGTTTCCTACCTGTGTCTTCGGTAAGAATGGGGTGTTGTTTGACACTGAGTTTCGGGGTCGGTGTCACTTCTGACAACCATTGGGCTTCCCTACATGCCTTCATCCTGTGGGATGAGGCCCGATCCCCTCACCACTGGGCTGACATCTTACAGACTCGGCCAGGGAGCCCCGGCCGATGTGCCAAAAGGCATTTCCCAGCCTCCCTGGCCTGTGATGCTCCACGTTCACCCATCGGCCCTTAGAACTTTTTGACCGGCGCCTTCTGGGCTGCTGTTCTTACTAGATTCTCCTTCCTCCTCGTCCCCTGCCCTGGGCTCTTCCTTTTCTCTGCCATCAGGCTCCTGGTGACACCTCCGTGTCGATGATGACTCACTGTTCCATCCTCACATGTCCCCTGTCTGATCTCCCCAAATGTCACAGCTGCTTCCACTTCCTCACCCCTCTGTTGGCTGTTCACACTTCAGACCATCTCCCATTCTCTTGATTTATTTTTCAAGAAGATTGTCCCTGTCAAAGTAAAACAGGTATTCATGTGCAAAGTCTCAAAACCGCCTTGTCTATTACACATTAATTAAAAAATAAAAAACAGAAACTATTTTAAAGCTGCCTTGCTGGCAGGGAAGGTGCATTCTCTTGGATGCCAGGAGCCCAGAGGAACACTGAGCGCAGCCAGCTCTTGTACCGGGTGCCTTCCCCGCCGCAGCACGAAATAATGACGTGGACAATTCAGGTTGTTTGTATTGTATTTTCTGTGCACGGGGAGGTTATTAAAAAGTTGGTGGTCCCTCCTAACATCAGGTGGTCTTATAAAGTGCCATTTACTAGGTGTACCAGTTAATAATGCGGATTTTTTCCCAATAGATGGAGTTACACGTATGTTGATATATTGATATATATATGCAATTTGATATGTGTGCTATTTTGTTGTATTGACAACAAGCTTCAAAACTTCATATGTCAAATTTTCTGAAGGTGTTAACATCATAGATATTTTTATGCTTAAAAATGTCGAATTTCGTGCCCAAAAAAAGACCACTTGCAGGAAGTTTTAATTCATTACTTCATTTTGAAGAAATAGTTAATCGTATACTTTAGGAAGCATATGGGGCACATGATCCATCTCAAGACACTTGTGAATGCTGTTTAAATGCTTTAAAAGTGATGATTTTTATGTGAAAGACAAAGACTGTCCAGGTCAACCGAAAAAGTTTGAAGACCAACAGTTACAAGCACTATTGGATGAAGATGCATGTCAAACTCAAAAACAACTTGCAGAAAGATTAAAAGTTGCTCAGCAAACAATTTCCGATCATTTACAAACAATGGGTGCAGGGTTCTTATCTCAGCATTACCACTAAGAACAGCATTACAAGGGTTCAGCAATCTGGTGAAAGGCTGATGCATAGATTCAATAAGGAGTCTGAAGACGAAAGGTAGTTTTGAAAGGCACTGGGGGTCAGAAGAGCTTCAGCTAAAAGAGCTAAAGACTACTCCGTGGCTCAGGACTTGTGCTTTTTATTAACACAATTTATCCCAAGGCAAGGTGGAAATAATACACTTCAAAGGGTAGGATTTACAAAAGCATTGTCAGATTGGGGAATATCGATGAAACTCTTGTAATTATGACATGCTAGAATTGGTTTCCAGCAAATGGGAAATATTTGAAAGGGAGGAAAATGGGACAAATGGGAAACCGAAAAGTCATCATAAAATGTCACTTCAGTGGCACGAAAGAAAGTCTTTTTTGCATTGAATTGTGACTGGTGATAAAAAGTGGACTTATTTTGAGAATCCCAAATGCACAAAATCATGGGTTGATCCGGGTCAACCGTTAATATTGACTGTAAGGCCAAATCGCTTTGGAAAGAAGACAATGGAAAAATTTGGTGGGATCAGGAAGGTATGGTGTATTTTGAGCTTCTAAAGCCAGGTGAAACCATTAATACTGATTGCTACCGACAACACATAATCAATTTGAACCACATTTTGATCATAAAACGACCAGAATGTGCCAGAAGACATGGCAAAGTAATTTTGCTTCATGATGACGCACCATCACACACTTCAAAACCAGTTAAAGACATGTTAAAAGATCTTGTCTGGGAAGTATTAACCCACGGCCATATTCACCAGACATTGTTCCTTCAGATTACCACTTGTTCCGATCGATGACACACACCCTGAGCAGCACTTAAAAATGTACCAAGAAGTGGAAAATTGGGTCTCCGAATGGTTTTTCTCAAAACAAGAAAAGTTCTATTGGTACAGTATCCACAAATTACCTGGAAGATGGGGAAATGTGTAGTAGCAATGAACATTACTTTGAAGAAAGCACTTTTGATGTTTCTCTTGAAATGCTTGTGTTTTCTTTGATTACAAATCCGCCATTATTAACTTATACACCTAGTATGTACAGTAACTTGATAGTTTAAAAATCTGTAATCTTACCCATTTTTTATATTTATTTTTAGAATTAGGGAACATCTAAAGGAGACTTAGGGAATGTTCATAAACTTTGAGAGAGTACATACTACATTAGGCAGCTTAGGGTAAATAGCTTGTATATTCAAATTCTAGAAATCCTAAAATTTGCTTTTTAATATAAGTGGGTGTTGAGTTATCTTCTTGCCTCTCCCCTATTCCTACCAAAGTGCTAGATTGTCATTATTATTCACTCCTATCCAGAAGAACTTCTAAAGAAGTTTGCATTTGATTTTACTAGCAGAATCTTTTATCTTAAAATGTTTAATAACCCTCTCTTTTGTATAACTACTTCCCAAGTGCATTTTTATTTTCTGTTCCTAAAAAAATAAGCATTGAAGTACAGAGATACTCAAAACACTTCCTGGTGAAACAAATAGTGAGAGCTCATGAAGAATTTATACTATTGTTTAAAAAGAACTAAAAGCCTCAAAATTGCTTAGTTTACTAACAAGAGTCATATAAGCTATAAGCTCTCCCACCGGAAGCTTCACTCTTTCTTGCCTAAAACTTCAGTGTATTTTACTTTTCTTACTCTGGAAATTTAAAGAGAGTCGTAAGAGGGTAATGGAGAGGAGTGGAGATTGAGAGGGTGAGTGGGGAGTGGGTGTATGTGCTATGAATGATTTGAAACAGCTCAGACATCAAATTATAGGGTAGGAAGGGGCCTGGACTGGAGGGCCAGCTCCGAGTTATCTCTGCTGCTGTCCACAGGCACCAAAGCTGCTGCCTGCAGACAGTCCTGGGCTCCAGGGCCATAAATCTCCAGGGAAAAATCTCCCCTTAGGCTGCCTCAGTGGGAAGGAGGCACTGATAACAAACAAACAAACTCTGCTTTGGAAATGAGAATTCAGTATTCTATGAAGCTGATCCTAATGACGTCATAGATAAAAGCTGGAAAACACGCCTGTTTCTCGCTTTGTTCTGTAGTCAGCATGGGACTTGGTGTTTCTCACACATTTACATAAAGATGATTCCTGGACCTCACAGACCTGTTGTCCTGAGCCCACGTCCTGCTGGCTAGGGGCTCAGGGCGCCTGGAGTTGTAGGCTGGAAGTGAGAGCTCAAGGCACACTATGTCATGATGTCATTTAGCAAACAACAACAACACTACTGTTTGTTGTTGTTTGTTTGCACAGTCCATCCTATCTATCAGTCCTTAAAAACAAACTGTTTTGTTGGGAAAGATAGGTTTTGAAAAACCGTTTCTGTACCTAGCATCGGTGCCTGGAGCCGTGTTTGTTTAAACCCCCGTCACGGTGGATTGCTCAGTTTTAAATCCAAAGCGTGCCCATTCATACACCGGCGTCTTTTTTGGTCTGAAGCCCATTTCATTACAAGTCTTTAGGCCTGGATAAGCCCTGAAAACAAATGGTCCTTTGTCAGCTCTTCACAATTTTACATGTAAGTCAAGGATCCTCAGCTTGCAGTCAGCATGGCTCGCACATTAGTTAATAGGTCACCTTGAATGTAAGTGTATGCTGCTCAGAGGGGCAGCTGCCAATGATGTGTATGCCCTGATCTTCATCATCGAGGCGCCTGGTAACGATGCTTTTCTGAAAGCCAGTCCTTTGTGTGGGCATCGCATGGTGTAAAAGAGCCTCCTCCTGTGTTTTCCAGCTCGGGTGGAGAGGGGTCTGCCTCTGGAGATAAAGGACCAATCTGGCTCCTCACAGAAGAGGAGGCACCTGAAGATTTATGTAGGATGTAATTCCAGGTAGATGGGCGAGGAGATGGGATGTAAAAATAGGGGCCTGCCCTAACTGGTTTGGCTCAGTGGATAGAGCATCGGCCTGCGGACTCAAGGGTCCCAGGTTTGATTCCGTTCAAGGGCATGTACCTTGGTTGCAGGCACATCCTCAGAAGGGAGTGTGCAAGAGGCAGCTGAATCAATGTTTCTCTCTCATCGATGTTTCTAACTCTCTATCCTTCTCCCTTCCTCTCTGCAAAAAAATCAATAAAATATATTAAAAAACAAAACAAAACAAAAAAAAAAACCCAAAAAACAGCCAAAGCCGGGTTGGCTCAGTGGTAGAGCATTGGTCTGCAGACTGAAAGGTCCCAGGTTCAATTCCGGTCAAGGGCATGTACCTTGGTTGCGGGCACATCCCCGGTAGGGGGTGTGCAAGAGGCAACTGGTCGATGTTTCTCTCTCATTGACATTTCTAGCTCTCTAGCCCTCTCCTTTCCTCTCTGTAAAAAAAATCAATAAAATAAAAAATTTAAAAAAATTTAAAAATTTAAAAATAAAAAAACCACAAAAACAAAACAAAACTAGGGGCTTGGCAAAAGAAAAAAGAACAAAACCACATACACACACACACACACACACACACACACACACACACACACCACCTGTAATGGGAAGAAGGCTTCAGAGAGGCTCAACGACTGAAGTAGATGGATAAGCACGGTGACCGTTTGTACAGCCAGGAAAATGACTCTTCAGCATCATGGCACAGTGGTGATGGAGGGAGTGTGTGCAGACTCCGCTAGGGCTGTCTCCACGCTTCCTTCCCCTCCTGCCTGCTCCTGGTCGCATTGTAGGAAGTTAGGCAGAGCTGTTGCCCTTGACAAAGACAGAGGTGGCTGGGAAAGATGCAGGATATGTTCGCTCCCAGCCTGCCATGCACTTGGTATTTATCATCACCCCCCACCCCCCGCCCCAGTAAAATTGCCCCTTTATGTCACGGGGAGTTTCAAATAGAGTTCCGTACCCGTTAGCGCAATAACAGCTGCTGGAGCATCTTCAAAGCAATGTAGCTATTTGCGTTGTTCTCAGCAAATCATTTGCCAAGTGCAGGAGTCAGCTGAATCTAAGGTTCCCTTCACTTCCTGCCTGGTGAAGCCCTGAGTCTGCTTATGGGCGGCATGAGGGAGGAAAGGAGAAAGTGAGAGACAGCCCGTGCTGTGAGCTGGGCAGTGCAGGGCTGTGGGGTGATTTCTTGCGCAGTGATTTTCAAATGTGGGAAATTAAATCACTATCTCATGGAGATATATATATGAGTGTGTTAAAAAGTTTTTTACTTTTATTGATTTCAAAGAGGAAGGAAAAGAGAGAAAGATAGAAACATCAATGATGAGAGCGGATCATTGATCAGCTGTTTACTGTATGCCCCCTACTGGGATCGAGACCGCAACCCAGGCATGTGCCCTGATTGGGAATAAAACCACCACCTCCTGGTTCATAGGTTTGCACTCAACCGCAGAGCCACGCCAGTCAGGCAGGAATATATATGTGTGTGTATATATATATATATATATATATATATATATATATATACACACACATATATATATATATTTTTTTAATTACATTAAATACAGACCATTAGACCCAATGAAATAAACATAACCAGTTCGTTTTATTTTGTTTTGTTTTTAACATACTATGGAAGAGGGTTAAAAAAACAAAACAAAAAAACTCAACTCTCTCTAAAATTCTTTTTTTTTTTTTTTCTCATACAGTCCAGAAAACTCTGAGTCTAGAGTCATAGGAAGCACTCTGCTAAGTAGACTTGTTATAAACACCAAGATCATAAAGGAATAAAGCTTGGAGGACTCGTTGCTAACCTTAAGAGACTGCTGATATGGATTACATATTTGTTTATGCTCAGAAACTCCCCAGTAATTATTTAATTGGCTTAGGTACTGATACTGTATCTAATTTTTTAATTGAATTTATTGGGATGACCCTGGTTAATGAAGTTATACAGGTCTCAGGTGTACAGTTCTGTAACACATCAGCTGTCTATTGTGTGTTCACCACCCCAAATGGTACTGGATCTGGTTTTAAGGTTCTTGTCGCTCCGAGACCAACGACATGAACTGTCACTATAGGATGTACTTCCAGGGAGCGCAGTCCACCCCCCGGACCCTGGCTAACATGTCCCAGATAGTCTGACAGATGCCACCAGTTTTTGTTCAGCTCTGAATGCTCATATACTGAAAGGAAGGCTTCGTGTCTAAGCCACGGAATCTTCAAATTTACTCTTTTTCTTTTGAAATGTCTTTCCTGTTTAAAAATACACTGTGGCTATGGTGGTATTTTTTTTTGTTGTTGTTGTTAAATATATTTTATTGATTTTTCACAGGGAGAGAGAGGGAGAAAGAGTTAGAAACATCGATGAAAGAGAAACATTGATTAACTGCCTCCTTCACACCCCCAACTGGGGATGGATGTGCCTGCAACCAAAGGTACATGCCCCTGACCGGAATCGAACCTGGGACCCTTCAGTCCGCAGACCGATGCTCTATCCACTGAACCAAACCGGTTTTGGCTATGGTGGTATTATATTTTAAATCTCTTTATTTTCTGCAGCGGTGCTTTACACCGCAAACACTGTATTTTGTAAAGCAGACGTTTCACGGGGAGATTCTTCCATGGCACTGCCTTAGAACACGGGTACTTCCCCTAAGGCTTGGCAGTCAGAGACCGGCCTCTGCAGGCAAACCGAAGAGGGGGGCAGCCGTGGAGACTTCTGGTTCCCTGGGGGCTGCCCCCAGCCACAAGCAGTTGTGAAGTTTGTGGACTCTGTGGCCCTGAGCCCTGAGAGAGACGGGCTGACCTCGACACAGCATCGCTTAGGGCCGTGCCCCATCGGCATCAGGTGGTTCAGGCCTCATGCAGGTCACAGCACACCCCTGACCAGCCAGTCAGCACCTGGGCCTGCCCTGTGTGCGACCCACACGCCACCACTCTGACACATTTCTCTTATGCACGGCAGCATCCAGCCGCTTCTCTGTGTCTTCACGGCTTCTACATGTCAGAGGCGCGGTGCTGGGGCTCTTCCCCGCTGCTCTGTCTTCCTCCACTTGATGGAGTTTCCAGCTTCTGGGTCTCTTCCATTACCCTGAAGCCAGAGGGAGAGAGAGATTGACAGTTGCCTCTAATCAGATTTATGCTCTCATCTTTAAACTATATCTTTTCTTATATGTACACTAGAGGCCCGGTGCACAACATTCATGCACTGGGAGGTTTGGGGGGTCACCTCAACCTGGCCTGAGCCCTCTCACAGTCCGGGAGCCCTCAGGGGATGTCTGACTGCCAGCTTAAGCAGTTGGACATCCTTAACGCTGCTGCGGAGGCGGGAGAGGCTCTGTCACTGTCACTGCACTCGCCAGCCGGCTTCTGACTGAGCAGCACTCCCCCCGTGGGAACACACTGACCACCAGGGGGCAGCTCCTGCATCGAACGTCTGCCCCCTGGTGGTCAGTGCGTGTCATAGCGAGCTGCCATTCTGTTCGGTCGATTTGCATATTACCCTTTTATTATATAGGACTTGAGGCCTGGTGCATGAAATTCGTGCATGGGGGGAGGGACCCCTCAGCCCAGCCTGCATCCTCTCTAATCTGGGGTCGGGCCTACACTGGCAGTCGGACATCCCTCTCACAATCTTGGACCACTGGCTCCTAATTGCTCACCTGCCTGCCTGCCTGGTCACCCCCAACTGCCTCCCGCCCCCACTGGCCTGGTAGTCCCACGAATCCTGCTTGTTCAGTCATTTGGTCATCCCTCACTAACCTCCCCCACCCCCGCTGGCCTGGTTGTAGGTAGCCATCTTGTGAGAGCGTGAAGGTCAATTTGCATATTACTTCTTTATTATATAGGATTATTCCAGTTGTCAGGTAACTTGCCTGAATTTAGTCACCCACAATCAGTTGCTAGGGCTGAGCTTTACTCCATTATTGAGCTAATTTCAGTATACTTATATTTAATAATGCACTTTTGGAATTGAGCAGACATTTAGAGTTTTTAGAGGTCTTTTCATTCAACTCCGTATTTCAAAATAGAGGAAACAGGCATTTTTTTTTTTTTTTACTTACTCTTATACTGTGTAGTTGGATGTCTATATTTAAATGCTGTATATCTGATGTTCTATGTCTGAAAACCTTTGTTTTACCCATAAAAACATGTTTTAGTAACTCCTTTAAAATCTAGAACATTCCTGGAAAAAATAGATTGATAAAAAATTTTCCATTTTTCAATGCATGTTTAAATTTTTTTGGAGCAAATAAAAATGTTTATCTAAGCCTGTGACAAAATTGTAGTAGTATGTTTGCCTATATTTCTTTCATTGTTTGCAGTATTGCCTTGACAACCCTATCTGAAATGTCAGGCTCTTAAAAAGGAAATAAAACTTGCAGTTTGGGGTCAAGTTTCCCTCTGCCCTGCCCTGCGACATGTGGAAAAGGAAACCCAATGGCATTTCATCAGAAACTGGTCTGGCTTAACTTTCTGCATTTCTGTGTTTCCCCAGATATGATCTTTCTCCAGGGAACAGAGGTCATCTTTAAAGTGGCTTTAAGTCTGTTGGGGAGCCACAAGCCCTTGATCCTGCAGCATGAGAACCTCGAGACCATAGTTGACTTCATAAAAAACACATTACCCAACCTGGGCCTGGTGCAAATGGAGAAGACCATCAATCAGGTACGATTCAGTCCTAACCTTTCCGAAAGTTCAAGCAATCCTGGTTATGTAGAAGCTTTATTATTATTATTATTATTATTATTATTATTATTGAACAGGGCCTATTTCCTACCCCTTTGTACTCTGGGCAGCATATTGTGTGATGCCTGGTGCGAGGGAGTCACATCGCAAATACCTGTCCAGTGACTAAACGTGTGAGTGTATGTGTGCTGTGAGTCCAGTGCTGACATGCCATGTGGCAACACCGTGGCGATGGGTAGGTGTGGTGACCAGCACAAATTATCAGTAGTTTCTTATAATTAAGAGACTTAATTTATCTCTTAATTTGTTCTTCTAAAATTCGTACATCTGTTCAATGTAGGCTTTTTTCGTTTCCCTGCTGAAAATATTATTTTACGGAAATAACTTTCCATAGCGAAGTTGTGATAGAGCGTATACATTTTACATAAGTTTATTCCACTGTGTGTGTGTGTGTGTGTGTGTGTGTGTGTGTGTGTATACTCGTGCACTTTAATAGAATCCTCCTCCACACCTGTGGTCACAGCACCTCTGGCTGCTGGGTGCAGTGGAACCATTGCTGTCTAGAATGTTAAGGGTGAGGGGTGACTGGAGCCAGGAATTACACCTGGAGCAGTTATTCCATGGCCTGGATTGGGGGCGGGAGCAGATTTGGACTCTGCCTAAAAAAGGACCTTCCAATGGTGACTGCAGACGAGGAGGGGCTGAGCTGCTCAGCAGAGGGCGGGTCGCCCTGGGAGGTGCCTGAGGCGGGCTGGCGGGGAAGCCCTGAGCTGAAGTCTGTGTGGAGCACTGCCATCAGCCTCCGGTCTCTCTAAGCCCAGAACTTACCTCGCCTGCTCCAAATACAACGTACACATAGAGCAGTTCCTTGAAAACAAGAAGTGAAATAAAGCTTTGGAAAGAGTCCTTATTCTGAGGACTGCTTTTGGTCCAAGAGGAGCAGCACCCAGACCTCCGTGGCTGCCCCTGCTCAGGTGTTTGGCACAGAAGGCCTGGAGGGGGAGGGGGAGAGGGAGGGTGCCATGCGGGAGTCACTGCAGCTCTGCAGCTCACAGGCCTGTGTGAGGGAGCAGCTCTCCCCTCTGCACCGGGCCTTCGGCTCATGGACAGGCTCCGCCTCTCACTCTGGCTTCCCTGTGGATCTATAAATACACATGATTTCATTTAATCGTGACTGCACTCCTGAGAGGAGAGGCGACTTTAACCCTTGAGGAGCCTGGGGCTCAGAGTGGGTAATGGACCGGCCCTCAGTCACCCTGCTGCAGAGTGGACAGGGCGGGTCTCACGCTCGGATCCTCTGGCCTCGGATCCTCTGGCCTCACTGGCTGGCCCAATGAGTGCCTTGACCTTGCTCCTGACTCTGAGGCCAGCAGCCTCGGCTGACATGGTTTACCTCCTGGATATTGAGCTCCAGGAAAAATCCCCTTTTTCTGTAAAAGCACCTGTTGTGATGACTGTATTGGGTGCCCCTTAAGGGTTTGGAGGATGGATGTGGGCACAACACGGGGAGAGGACAGTTTCGTGTGTGTGGCTGGTTGTCTTCAGGCGGCCGCTGTGAACTTGGCATCCGTTAGACCACTGACTCCTTGACAGCTTTGGAATGTGGACGATAATCCGTTTTAGAGCTGGGGAGATGGATGTGGAGACAGGAGCATGCTCCCACCCCGTGTAACGTGGCAGAGCCGGAAATGTAACGTGTCCCTCTGACACCAAAGCCCAACCGGTGCAGAAAATAAGCACGTAACCCAGTAATTACAAGTGTGGTGCGAGCTACCGCGGTGCTTGTGCAAGGCTCATGGGAGCCGGTCTGACGGAGGGTGTGAGTGCTCACAGTTGGGAATTGAAGGCACACAGTTCAGCTGGGCCTCAAAGAATTGGCCAAAGCTGTGGCCGGATAGCTCAGCTGGTCAGAGCCTCATCCTGCTTCACCAAGGTTGTGGGTGCTCTCCCCAGCCAGGGCACATAGAAGCATCAACCAAGGCATGCATAAATGTGTGCAACAACAGATCTCTCTCCACCAACCACTCTCAAATCAATAAATAAGTTGAAGAAGAAGAAGAAGAAGAAGAAGAAGAAGAAGAAGAAGAAGAAGAAGAAGAGGAGGAGGAGGAGGAGGAGGAGGAGGAGGAGGAGGAGGAGGAGGAGGAGGAGGGGGGGGAGGGGGAGGGGGAGGGGGAGCAGGAGAAGAATTAGCCAATCAAGTGAGCACATGTCCTTTGTAGAGAGCCAGATAGTGAGGTCGTGGGCTTTGTCGGCCATAAGGCTTGCTGCAGCCACTCAGCTCTGCCTTTGCAGCGCGCAAACAGCCACGGAGGTGTGTGTAGAAATGAGGAAACCGTGCTGCGGTGAAACTTTATTTACAGAGACACGCGGTGGGACAGATTCAGTCTGGAGGCTGTCGTTTGCTGACTCCTGGTCACAGCATGTGCAAAGGCATGGGAGTGAGAGAATAGAGATTCCAGACGCCTGGCAGTTCAGTGTGTGTGTGTGTGTGTGTGTGTGTGTGTGTGTGTGTGAGTGTGTGTGGGTGTGGGTGTTTGCGTGTGAGATGGTTAGGGTCTGAGGAGTCCTGGCCTCCAGTGGGGGCTCTCGTCTCGAGTCCAACTCAGAAGTGGGGCCCCATGTGCAGCGTGCTTCCTCTGCAGGCTCACAGAGCCCCAGGTTTGACCTTGGAGGCATCAGGGGGAAGTGGTAAGTGCATTAATTGCACACGGTTGTCCTGTAGGTATGGGCAGGTCTGGCCGCTCTGATAGCCATGGCTCCGTTTCACTAAATGCCCTCTTCATGGGTGGTCTTGGCTCCAGAGGCTGGGATACAGCCTGTGTACAGGATGAGGGAGAGAGTAGTGAGGACGGGGCTCAGGGACACTGGGAGCAGCCACAGAGGGGCAGGTCCAGAGCTTAGAGCCCCGGGCAGGAGGACAGAGCCTCGGCAGGCTCTGTGGCGTCCTTGGTGTGACTTAAAAATCCCGACCCAAGAAGAGGGGGAACCCTGGGGATAAACAGAAACTAAGAGGAGGTCCAGTTTGCATTCCTGTCACAGTGAGTGCCTCAGCTGGCCTCTGCAACCTGAGGTCAGTGTAAGAAAGGAAAACAGAGGGGGGTGGTTTGGGGGTGGGGGTGAGGGGGACAAAGAGCCTATTTTTAGCATCCTTGGGGCTCCATTTAAAGCATGGCCCCAGCCTGTCGGTGTATCAGGTAGGAGCTGTCAGTGTATCAGGTGAGAAATGCAGAATCCGGGGCCTCACCAGAGACCCGCTGAGTCCAAATCTGCATTTCAGTGAGGCCCCAGGGGACTCACTCCCTGGGAACCAATGAAAAAGCTCTGCTCCTGGCAGCTTCCCTGCAAACAGCTGGCAGTTCTCTGTGCGAGCGAGCTGAGCATGTGGGGCCGGAACCAGAATCTTAACAAGGCTCCTTTGTTCAGAGGGGCTCCTCGGAGCCGGAGCCGTGGCCAGGCCCCCTTCTCTGCCTCTGGGAGGAGCCCTCTGCTTGGGCAGTGTGCACTGTGGGGAGGCCCTTCAGTGCCAGACCTAGAGGGTGTGGTGGGGTGGGAGGGATACTTTATTTTACCGCTGGCATTGTGTAGGACTGTGTGCATGTGGCGGTAATAAAAAGCAGACCGACTATTAGTGGGGCGTATTGCAGTTTTTTAAATGCACTACAGACCCTGCCACCCCCTTACCGCCACTACCTGGGCCAGCGGCTCCTCTCTCCACCTTGGGTGTGCCACCAAGACCGACAGAGGCGGGGCAGGTGTGGGGTGGGGACGTGGAAAGTACAGGGCTAGCTGTGCAGACACCAGGTTCACAGCTTCATCATGCCGTGTCCACAGACGGCGGAGAGAAACTCCGTCTCCACGAGCACATGAGCCAGGAACTTAGACAGTTCTCCAAGGAGGAGGCCCGTGTAATAAACAGCATCTGGGAAAATATTTAGCTCCGTGCATGATTCAAATGTAAATCACACAGAGTGCTCTACTGACTGGATTAACCAAACGGAATGTTTCATGCCAGCACCCAGTGCCAAGGGTGTGTGCAGTGAGTCTGGCACATCCGTGTGTGGCTAATGATGTTGTATGTTGATGGTTCCCATTTGGGAAGCAGTTTGGCAATATGTCTCACAAACCAGTAAATGTTCTTCCCCTTTGTCTTAGTAATCCCGTTTCCTGGAATGTATCCTTAGAAAATGGTCCGAAATATGCGGAAAGCCATGTGGACAAGGATTCGTAGGGCTGTCATTTAGAGCAACAGAAACTCAGGAAACCGGGCAGCCCACACTGGATGCATGGATTGGCATGGTGGTGATATGTCAAGGTGGTAGAGTACAAAGCCATTTATAAAAATGATGGCCATGAAGAATATACAGCTACTTGAACACGCCTTGTCTGAGGACACCAGGTCTCTTTTTACCACCAGCCACATGCTGCCATGGTTTGGGATAAATTCTGGGGCATCATTGCAGAATCTGAGGGCCTCAGTGTTTGGGGACCCAGGAGATAACAGTGCCATTATGATCCGACTATGACCCGGGCGGGTTCCTAGGTATTAACGGAGGCCTGAGAGTTTATAGCTTCAGGCACAGTTGAGAGCCATTAACCTCAGCTGGTCATCAATCTGTATAAAAGGCAAGACGTTTTGTTCCCAAATTTTCCAGGTTAGGAGCTCCTTTAGAAATAAACCTTGGTGGAAGAAGAAAAGTGGCTGTGTGTGTGTGGCATTTGCACTGTACCCCATTTATAGTCACACCTCAATGCCACGCAGTCTCGGTTTGACTGTTGGCGGTTTTCACGGTTTGAGCTGTTCTGAAGGTCCACGCTGTGGCATCCTCTGTCGTTTTGCTGAAGCGCGAGCTTGAACGTGCAGGTTTCACAACAAATGTGTGGAAGCAGGTCCCTCAGCTGAGTGAGCACCTGCCTCTCGGCTTGCAGGCAGGTGCCGGGAAGGTCCATCGGTTGTCTCCTGTAACTCCCCCAGTGATGCTGGAGGCCACGAGCTGATCCTGGGAGAGGTCAAGAGACCTGCTCAAGGTCATTCAGGGAGTCACTGGTGGAGCCGGGACCTGAGACTGACTCAAAGCCTCTGAGTCAGTTTCCTTGACTGAAAATAGAGATGATAATCTCTGCTGACCTCTCGCTGACCTCTCGGTCACTCTGAGGGACTGACTGAGACTCGGGTCGATACAGTCAACAGCACACACACATGCCACCAGCACGGGGTGAGACTTTCAGCACAGAGAGACTTGGTGCCTAACCAAGTATCCATTGAATTAAACTGAAAACCAGGAAGCTGAGAAATGAGCCTTAAGGGAGACGAAATGAGATTGTGGTGAACACTGAGCTAGTAAACATGGTTCTTTAAAATCGATTTCAGGGCCGAGGCCGGTTTGGCTCAGTGGTAGAGCGTCGGTCTGCGGACTGAAAGGTCCCGGGTTCAATTCTGGACAAGGGCATGTATATTGGTTTCGGGCACATCCCCAGTAGGGAGTGTGCAAGAGGCAGCTGGTCGATGTTTCTCTCTCATCGACGTTTCTAGCTCTCTATCTCTCTCTCCCTTCCTCTTTTTTTTTTTTTTTTTTTAAATATATATTTTATTGATTTTGTACAGATAGGAAGGGAGAGAGATAGAGAGTTAGAAACATCGATGAGAGAGAGTCATCGATCAGCTGCCTCTTGCACACCCCCCACTGGGGATATGCCCGCAACCAAGGTACATGCCCTTGACCGGAATCGAACCTGGGACCCTTCAGTCCCCAAGCCTACGCTCTATCCATTGAGCCAAACCGGTTTCGGCATCTCCCTTCCTCTCTGTAAAAAATCAATAAAAAATATATTTTTAAAAAATTGATTTCAGGGAAGATAGGACTCCCCCCTGTGAGTGCTGACAGAGGGCCATCAGGGGAAAGGAGCTCTCCATTGGCTTTAACTCTGTCGGCCTTTCTTTTTCAGGAAATGTGCTGAAAAATTCGTTTCTGCTCTTGTAAAGCCTAATCCCATTCTCTAGCCGTGTGTTCTGACCACGTGGCTTCTTTAAGTGATGACTGAATTCCCAGATTTCCCTGGGGTCCTTGTTGGGTGCCGAGGCTCAGCCCCATGGTGTTTTCAACACCAGGAAAGAGAGGAGGTGCCTGGGGCTGCAGCCTCTGCCCTCTGACCCCCTTTCAGCCCCTCCCCCGCCCCCTTCAAGCTCAGTCCCCGAGAGAAAGTCCAGACAGACCACTCACTCACTCACTCACTCGTGCACTCGGGTTGTTTTTCTCACGGGTGGTTTTTTCATCACTGTTACTATTATGGGAAGGAAGGCAGCGCAGGCATTGTTTCGTATTCGCTCATCTCTGTGGGTGACATTTGGGTTTTGGCTCATGTCTGCATGTCTTGTGTGCAGAGAATGGTTTTCAGTAAACAGCTCCATTACTTAGCTGTTCTTGTAACCCTGAAAACCCAGCTGCACTGTAATTAAACTTTGACTCGGTGACTGGGCAGATAGGGCTGCGATGCTTTTGTTTTGTTTCCTCCCTTTGACCCAGAGTTGATGCATCTAACTTAACGGGGTTTTCAGAGAAGAAGAACATAAGTCCTGGAATCAGAGCTCAAAATAAAAGCTGCGTGCGTCTGTAAAAACAAGGTGTTGACTTTTGGAAAATGAATATCAGAAACCATCCTTACTGTTATGTTAGGCTTAGTTCCAAACGCTGCTTCTGTCCTTCCCTCCCAAGTGAAATGATTCCTTCTCAGGGCAGAGAGTTTCCTTTAATTATCACCAATGTACCAGGCACAGAGTCGGTGTTTAGTGGGTCTCGCTGACGTGGTGTGTGTGTGTGTGTGGTGTGTGTGTGTGTGTGTGTATGTACCTGTGTGTTTTTTCTCATCTTCGGTGCCTGATGACTTCCCTGCATTTAACAGGTGTTTGAGATGGACATTTCTAAACAGTTACAAGCGTATGAAGTGGAGTACCACGTGCTTCAAGAAGAACTTATTGATTCCTCTCCTCTCAGCGACAACCAAAGAATGGACAAATTGGAGAAAACCAACAGCAGCTTGCGCAAACAGAACCTTGACCTCCTGGAGCAGCTGCAGGTAGAGCACGTTCGGGAAGCAGCTTCCTGCACCCCAGTAGCTCATTAACCCAGCAGGCTGGGCTTTCCCACGGCCTCGGGGCCTCTCTGCCCAGGTCTGCTTAGAGTTGGATCAAAGGTATCCCGGGGGTCCCGGGCCTTTCTCGTAGGCAGCAGCCGGGCGATCCTGTACTGAGGTCAGACAGCTTTCTGTGGGGCTAATGTCTCTGCCATTAGCAGGAAACAGGCCCAGAGATGAACTTGTGATCCAGACTCCATGGAGCTCTTAGCTGAATTCCAGCAGCTGTGCTTTGAATAATGACAAGAGAAGCAAAGGCTTGAGCTACTATGAGCAAAATCAGCCAGGTCCACAGAGGGATGTTAAAGGAGGCAGGCGACACCGACATCCGCCTTGCAAAATCAGCCAGGCGTGGCCCGTTATGGCTCAGTGGTTGAGCATCGGCCCCTGCACCAAAAGGTCACTGGTTCGATTCCCAGTCAGGGCACATACCCAGGTTGGTTGCGGGCTTGATCCCCAGTAGGGGGAGCTCATCAATGTTTCTTTCTCATTGATGTTTCTATCTCTTCCTTCTCCTTCTCCCTTCTGCTCATTCTACAAAGCAGTAAAAACATATTTAAAAAAATAAAATTAAAAAAGTAAATCAGGGCATAGGATCATGATACATGTGTGCTTGGTGCAAATACCAAGCCTTGATTAATGAAGGACAAAATTGTCCACTCTGGAAGCTTCCATTTTAATATGGATGCATGTGGATGAGGACACTGTAGGAAGGCAAACACTGATTGTGTGCACAAAGAGTGACAGGAAGCAAGGACAGAGGGCAGCCCAGAGACCTGGTTTCCCCATGTCCCCACCCCCACTTTCACCAGGACAGACCGCTGACTGGCTCTGTCCTGACTCCCTGGTTTGTGTGACAAGGACCAGAAGAATACCTAGGGCTTAGCACACAGCTCCTTTTCCAAGCAGATGGAATAAAGGAGCCACACAGTCTAGTTTTTTTAACATCAGAAATGGTGGTAATGCTATCAGAGTAAAGAAATTGTTTGTGGAGTGTTTACAAAAAAAATTTTTTTTTGAGTTTTCGCAGGAAAAAAATACATTTTCCTCCTCACCCCACCCCCAAGTATGCATTTATGCACTCCTGGGCTGACCTGGGAATTAGCTTTCCTTCCCAGCCTGAGCCTGTTTACGTCCATAGGATGTTGCCCCTCTGCAGACACAGGCTTGGCAGTGATATGAGGGCGGCAGACTTTGGAGAGCCTAGTAAATCAGCCGGGTCTGAAGTGCATTTCCCTCCGCAGGCCTGAGGAAATATTTCGTCCTAGAGGAACAAAGAAAAATGCTTTCTCCACCCAGTCCCGCCTGCCCGGCACATTCGGAAACATAGCTGCTTTTCTCCCCTGTGATTGAGATGTCCTAACTTTGTGGTCGGCAAACTGCAGCTCGCGAGCCACAGGCGGCTCTTTGGTCCCTTGAGTGTGGCTCTTCCACAAAATACCACTGCCTGGGCGAGTTTATTTTGAAGAATTGGCGTTAGAAGAAGTTTAAGTTTAAAAAATTTGGCTCTCAAAACAAATGTCAATCGTTGTACTGTTGATATTTGGCTCTGCTGACTAAGGAGTTTGCCAACCACTGTCCTAACTCAAAGCGTGTCTGTGCCCAATCTCTCCAGGATGCCTCGGCTGTCATGTGTGGGAAGGTTCAAGGGGACACAGAGCCTTATCTGGCCTGCAGGGTCTGCAGTGTAGTGGGCATTTCAAATGCCTTCCGGACAAATGGGGGGCCCCTGAAATAGAGCAGACGAAAGCATTTCTTGAAAACTCAGACTTGCATCTGCAGCACTTGGCTTGCTAAGACAGGTAGAAGGATCCTTTTTATTGATCTAACATCCGGGTAGGTTTTGTGCATGTGTGCGTTGCAGGATGGAGAGTAAGCTTGTGTTGCTTCTGTGGTACTATTCCTTTTATGAAGAGAAGGTGTTGTGAAAAGCTGCTCCGAAATCCGCATTCCTCAAGAGAGGCGTCAGGTGGTGGTGGTGGTGGTGGGGTAATGGTAACAATAGGCATGCTCCGTGCAATGTTCTTTCTCTTGACCAAGCGGTTCTGTGTTTCTGGGGGTGTCATTTAGGACCCCAGCTTATGACAGCCCACCAGTACTGACTGAGTCCTGCAGGGGTGGTGGGGCACCAGGAGCCACCAAAATCCGTAAGATACTGTTGCTGTCAAAGAGTTGGGGTACAGATTGTATTGTTGGTTTGTAGGTGCTTGTATGTCCCGTTCCCATGACCCTCGAGGGCTCACTTGGGGTTATTGTCCTTCAGCCAGACTATAAGTTCTGTGAGACTCTCACCTCCATCTTTTTTTTTTTTTTTTTTTTTTTTTTAAGCAGTTTTCAGAGTCCAAGGCTAGGCGTTCAATACAATGGCTAATTTTTCAACATAAATCTTTTTTCTTATTTTTTATGTTTGCCAAAATATCAGAATTGACCCATGTTCCAGCTTTGTCCTGCCTATCTAGTTATTAGACATCCCAATGCCCCACCTTTTCTCTTGGTAACATTTAATGCTGTCTAGCAGTGAGAGACCAAACTGTTACCCTGTTTGGTCCAGTAGCATCCATGAGGCGATCTCATAGACATGTCAGGTGGTGACAGATAATAGCAGACGGGCATTTTTCATCACAATCAACCGCAAGTCCTGAGCGCCAGAAGCCAGGTGCAGGGGGGGCAGCCCCCTGTGCAGGATGAGACCTGCTTTCTCAGGGGAGAGCTGTGGTCTCACTGGGGAGACCTGACGCTCGTGCGGCAGTAAGTGGCCCTGCAGAAAGCTCCCTGCTGAGCTGTGGGGGCCCCTGGTGTGCCATGGGGCTTCTGAACAACAGGCCAGGGGGAGGAGACGGGCGGTTGGCCAGCCTGTCTGCTGGTTGAACTCCTGGTCGAGGGGACAGTTTGCATATTAGCCTTTTATTATATAGGATATACACCGAGTGGCCAGATTATTACGCGTTCAGAGATCATAATAATCTGGTCACTCAGTGTAGATGATGTCATCTAAATAGGCCAGGCTGTGCTGCAGTAATGAGTAAAGCTCCAAATCTCAGTGGGGAAGCACTGTGCCTAAAGCACCACCTCTTCTCCAGGAAGATGCTGTGGTCATATTTGAGCTGTCATCCCTGTAGTGTGTGGCTCGGAGTTCGGGCTCCCCCTGCATTGTGAGGCCACCACCTCAATGTATAGCTCCCAAAGCAGCCACAGCAGGGGAGGAGCTCTGGTGGCCCAGACTACCAGCAAGGGATCCTGGGAGATGTAGTCTTCCTGTGTGGCCAGAAGAACTGACAGTACCCAGTGGAGCCCTCTCTGCCAAAACGTGGCTCCACTACTCCCTAAAGGCTGGACAGGGGAGTGCACCGTGGATCCCCCCCTGGGTTGTCACTGGGCAATGACAGGCTCATGTTTCCTTTCACTCTCCAGGTGGCAAATGGTAGGATCCAGAGCCTGGAAGCCACCGTCGAGAAGCTCCTGGCCAACGAAAGCAAGCTGAAGCAGGCCGCCCTGGCCTTGGAGCTGGAGCGGTCCGCGCTGCTGCGGACGGTGGAGGAGCTCCAGCGGCGGACCGCAGAGCTGAGGGCACCCCAGCTTGACCTCATGCAGCCCTAGCCCACGGGCGACCGACAGCATCTCACCAGGGCACGGCCCGAGGGGACGCGGGACGCCATCCGACACTGTCCAGGCCTTAACAGAGAGAGAGACAGAAGCTGCTGGAGGGAGAGCGTGAAGCGCGGAGCATGCTTCTCAAGGAGGAGACGGGCTCGCCAGCACGCGGAGTCCTCTGGACTGAAACCTGCGGATCAGGGGGATGCATGTCCCCGAGTTTTTGTTGTTGTTTAGGTTCCGGTGGGTCCTGACGACTGTAATCAGTAGATTTAGACGGCACGGACATGAATAAATGCACTTTTATGTTCTTTTTTCAGTATTACTGTGTTTGTAAAGAGCATTCTTCATACTGTGGAATTGCAAAACCCGAGGACTCGAGATGATTCCTCTGGCAAAGACGGGGGTCCGTGGCTCTCCCACAGAGGGTCGGTGTGACTGCTCCCTCAGCAGCGTCGGCAGGTGGCCCTGGTCCGTGCTCGGTATGAAGGCCAAGATGACCATTAGGAAAGATCAAAAGCGATTCACTTAAATGTGAAATCTTGAATTTGATCACTATTGTTGATATTTAATGAAGTTTCTTTTAAAAAAATATATATATATTTTCATACATGTTTTGCCTAGTCCTTAAGTATTGATCAACGTTATTGTAGATGAATGTTTTATGGGAAAATCAGCATCTTTAAGACTCTACCAGGGATTGCTCGAATGCTACCTGCAGTTGTAGAGTCCAAGGTATTTATTTCTTTGTGGTGTTTCATAGTTGTTAGAAGTTGAGGTGTGTATTTATTTTTGCAGCTGTGTGTCCCTTTGAGCCTCCACTCCTTGGGAATCTGATTCTTTTCAGAGGAAGCAGGACACAGCAGCATTTTTTTTAGGGGTGCCAGAGACTTGGGGACTTTCAAAAAGGAGATCAGCCTACAATTGTAATTAAGTGTATGGCAGCTTAGAGCAGTTTTCTGGAGGTAGGGTGTGTGTTTTGAACATAATTCCCAACACAGTGACCCTCTCCCTACCTCAGGACGATGAGGTCCTTGTGCCTTCAATATACAGAAAGCTGCTCATGGCTGCCCTGGCTTCACCTCGTCACTGTGTGGGGCCTCCCGTGTGCACTCTCAGAGTCCACGTGTCCTTACCAGGGGTGCTCAGAGAGGAACTGTGTAGGCACATGTCACTTCCATGACAGCAGAATCATTGCTGGTCTTGGTCATACTAGCCCAGAGATTATCAACCTTTGTAATCTCATGGCGCACACAAGCTAACTACTAAAGTTCTGCAGCACACCAAAAAACATTTTTTGCTGGTCTGACTATATATATTTTGATTCATTCACACAGGACGGCCATTGTTATGTTGGCTGCTGTCATTTTTCTGTTTGACAGTCTAAGGGAAAAGAGGTCAGTGCCTCTGACTAAATAGTCAGGTATGACATGTTTCAAAAATTCCTGCAGCATACCGGGTAAAAATTGCTGTCCTAACCACTTCTTCTGTTTCCCAGGAGTTTCTCTTGACCCTGTTGATTAAGCCTGAGGTGAAAGGAAGGATTTTCATATTTGGAGTCATTGTCAATCTCCCCACATATTTCACAGGAAGACACGCGTGCTGCCTAAATGCGTGGGCGCTATTTGGGACCTTTCCTATTGCCCGGGTCAGGACAGCAGTTCCTGCAGAAACCAAGACGACAAGCCCAGTGGCCTTTATCCCAGGTTGTTCCACCAGATATTCTGGGAGTTAACATGGGAGGGCTTCTTCCCACATATTTTACTGTTTGATGTTTAATAATGTTGAAATCTGGACATCTTCTGACCATTACTCAAAAGCATTGACTCCACATTAAATAAGAAACAAGAAAGCAATAAAATAATTTATGTGCACACTTTTATGGTGTTTGGGCTGTGTGGTTTTTTGTTTGTTTGTTTGTTTGTTTGTTTGTTTGTTTTTTCTTTAAGAAACTTTGGATTTTTGCTTTTCAGCCCAGGAGTGAAAAAGGAATGCCTCATGAACACTTATGAGTCAAAGTGTGAATGTTATCCCACCATCTGTGAAATCATTTGAATCTTATGTTTTTAGTATTGCTACCCAAACGCTTGTTTGGTTGTAACACCTCCATGCAGGGTGTGATAGAGACCAGTTCCATCGCTTGTACGTGCCAGCGAGTGCTGCTATGACATCGCTGGGCAGAGGGGACTATGGACATGAGCCTGTGGGAGCAGGTTGGACAGAATATTGCCTGTGACTTAGCCGTGGAAAGAGAAATGCATAGAACCAACTCACATCCCTGATTGAGGATGAGCGAAGGCAAACTTTTAAACCAAGTAAGTTTTATATTCTCCCCAAACACATTTGTGAGTGTACTTCATGGTTGTCTTTCTTTGATACCATTTGTGCCCTCTGAGACATAGAACATGATGAGCCCTCAGGAAGCCCAGTATTAGAAAGCATGCATAAACATTTCTTCTATGTGGAATATTCATTTTGGGGTTTACATTTGGTTTGGTTGGTGAATCAGGGGAGAAGTGTTACTCTGAGTGCTGTGGAAATCAGAATTCGTTATAGGAATTAGACCCAACACAATCATGGGAGGACATGAGAAGTGAATTAGCAGAAGGAGGTGTGCAAATTAAGGTGTGCCAATCAGCTCCTCATCTGAGGAGCAATCTGAAGTGGGCCTGGGCAGGTGGTGTTCTTGGAGCTCTGCAGGAAGCTGGTGCTGCCATGTGGTGGCCACCAGGGGGCATTTACAGCCAGATGCCTAGTGGTGAGCCTGGGGCCACCCTAGGTCAATGCTCAACGTCATCACTTGGGAAGAAGAGATGGAAGTGGACCAGAGGAGAATGAGGACAGGCACCTGTGCATCTGTTAGTTGCCATATTTAACTATGGTGACCTTCAGAGAAAAATGGCCACTGCTTCAATTTTCCAAATCTCACACAGGTACCTCTGTGAGACAATTCCAATGTACAAACCACCTAGGGAAGGGAGCTCTGGGAAAGGGAGTTCTGACCTAACTCAGATGATGATACAAACCACAACAGTTAATTTTGAAACCTGACTAATTTGAATGATCACATGCACGTGTGAGTCTTTATGGAGGCCCTCCATCTATCTATATAAAAGGCTAATATGCTAAATGTCCTTCCCTCTGTCCGGGAACACCCAGACACATAGCAACACCCAGCTTTCTCCCCTAGAGACTAGCAGCCCAAGAACACCACTTGTTTTATAGCCAGGTGGAAACACTTTACACAGTAATCAGATGTCTGTGAAGTGTTTCCCCATGCCTCATCTCATTTGATCCTCACAGAAGTCCTGGAGTAGGTAGATAGGATATTCAGTGAATACTATTTTCTTTTCATTAGCCAGAAAATTGAGATTTAGAAAGCCTAGAAATGACCAGACTGAAAATAAGAAAGAAATGGTGAACCTTAAAAATGACTTCAGGTTTTCTCACTGTGCAGAATATAATCAAACACTGCTAGAGTTAAAATATTTTATCTTTTGTTCTTCCTGTGTGATCTACGTTAATGTGCTTTATGTTGATATTTACTGTTGTGTTGCTGACAATTACCTGAAAGAGAAGTTGGGGTGCTTCACTGGGCTGGAAAAAGTTTAGCTAAATCAGAAAGCAGGTCTAATTAAGCAAGTTTATTCTATATTGATAAAAAGCTAAGTTGACTCATGCATGTTCAATAAATATAATGCTCTCGCTGGTGCCAATCATACACGTGTGTTTCCATCTGTCATTGTGAATTGTGAATTTGGTTAATACTTCTATTGTAGTGAAAGGGCAAAGAGCAATGTTAAAATATTTCTTCTAATTAATTTTCTTTCAATGTGCATGAATTCATGCACCAGGCCACTAGTCTAAATATACACTAAGTGGCCAGATAATTATGACCAACTGACGTTTGTAAACAAATTAGCCATACACTGTATCCTATGGGATATGGAAGCCAAAGGCCTGTTCGAACAACTTTGCTGTCTGCAGTTACCAAGATAAAACATTTCCAATTTGTACAGGAATACAATGATTCGACAGTTGAGCATTGGAAAAAAGTTATGTGGTCCAATGAATCATGTTTCCATTTGCGTCATGCAGATGGCAGAGTGAGAATCTCACAGAAACAGCATGAAAGCATGCACCTCACATGCATGAGTACAACCCTTCAAACTGGTGGGGGCAATGTTATGGTTTGGAGCATGTTTTCCTGGCATGATTTGGGCCCTTTAATTCCCATGGAACAACTTCTGAATAGCACAACATACCTAAGTATTGTTGCTGAACAAGTTCATCTTGTCATATTTATGGTGTATCCCAATGGAGATGGCTTCTTTCACAAGACATTGCACCATGCCATGGTGCTCGCATTGTGCAGGAGTGGTTTCAAGAACATGAGGGAGACTTTACCTTGCTTAGGTGGTCCCATAATTACCAGATCTCCATCCAATCAAGCATTTGTGGGATGAAGTTAAAAGAGCCAACAGGCAGCTGGTTTCACACCATCAAATCTCACAGAACTGGACAGTGTTATTCATCAGGCATGGTGTCAGATTCCTCGCATCACCTTCCAACATCTCGTGGAGTCAGTGCCAAGAAGAATCGCTACAATATTGAAGGCAAAAGGTGGCCCAACAAAGTACTGATGGAGTGCTCATAATAATCTGGCCACTCAGTGTATATGACTAGAGATCCATAGAGTTTAGATCCACAGATTAACTTTGACTTTGAGAGTCATGGATGATGCCACATTGGAGATTAATAACTTCACCACACCACTGCTGCCATCCAGGATGCCTCTCGTCCTTCCTCTGCTCCCCTCGGTCCAGCGTTACAACAGCTCTACAAATTAAAATCGAGTGGGAAAAATAGTTTACAGGGCACATTGTCTTAAATTGAATTGAAACTTTAAGGGTTTAGAATAACTCAGAATAATCTTGGACTGGGAGAGCTGCGAGCAACTTCCTTCTTCCTAGACATCCACATCCCACCTCATTTGATAGGAGAAA